ACTTTTTTTAATGCAAATGATGCGTCATGTACAGAGATGACAGACAGGGGGGGGGGAGGGGAGAGAGAGGTAAAGAGAGAAAGATGAATAAGGGGAGAGGCAAATCATGCGTATTTGTACTCCGATTACTTTACATTAATTGAAAAAAAAAAAGCTATTACTTTTTTGAGGGGAAAGGGCAAAAAAAAAAGATGTTGAAGAAAGGTAACACAATTTAATTTCGAAATTGGAGAGATACTAATGTAATCCCCCCCCTATGTAAAAGGGGGAAAAGAGGATCGTCTCATAGAAAGTATTTAAACTAACTGACAGAGAGATAAACAAAAAGATAACAAAACGGCCCAGGCCGAATAGAAAGTTCAGGGCAAAAAAGTAAATGACTCTTTTTGTAATAAACCTTATCCATTGGAGAGAGATTGTAGGGCGGAACAAATAATTTTTATTTTTTCCGCTCCAACCCAAATAAATAATCATTTTTAGGTCAGTAACAGAATCATACAAAAAGAGAGTGGGAGATCCCCCTTGTATACAAAAAGGATTAAATATATACCGGATACGTCATTTTAAACGGATTTCCTCATAACGGCTCTCCAAAGAAGCTCTTAAATCAAATCCAATTAGGGGCGGTATCCCATCTTTTAAAGATAGCTGACTGGTATAATATAGAGTATATAGGGGTGGATTGCATCATTTTATTTTTTTTGTCAAACATGGCACCATACCCTCTCTAGATCGTTTAATTCTTTTCCCGTTTATTTTAAAGACGATGAAACAATAAACTCTTATTGTTGCATGTGCTGTACCTTTTTTTTTTTTATTATTATTATAATCCAAATGCCGTGTAACCTGAGCAATAAACAAGCAAAAAAAAAATTCCTTATATAATTATTAATTGATTCTTAAAAGTACAATAATAAAAAAAGACCGTTTTCCGTCCTACTTCACATGCCGTTGTTGTTTATTGTTCTCCAAAATGGAAGTGAACACGATGTGAGAGTTATTTCATACAGACGTAATGAAGGGGGATCCGGAAGGAACATTTGGATGTTTACGGACCCACGGTGTTTTAAAAAACTAAAAAAAAGTCATGCTTTTTCCCTTATTCCAACTATCCATATTTGGATAAAAAAGATAGGATTATGGGGGGGGGGGATCTAAAGTTTCAAAAAATTATAAACAAAGTGGAGGGGAGGATATCATGAGTCTTCCATGTTGTTTTGAAATAGTAATACACAAACTGGATCAACATTTTTACTCGGTGTGATGGTTACACAGTTAACAATGAACCCCAGCTCTCTTGCACCATGTGATTGATAAGTGCCATTTATAGTCTCCAAGGAAAATGAGCTTTCTTCTTGGAAGGTGGGCGTCTCATTTCTGGAAAAAGACTTGTAAATGATGTTGTAGTAACATCATTTAGGTCATAAAAATAACAAATCGTCATTTCTATCATGAGAGAGAAAAAGAAGATAACTTCTATACGGGCTAAGCTGTAAACAACAATAAAACTAAAAGTAGACTAAAAAAAAAAAAAAATACCTCATACACAAATGACAACATTTTTTTTTTCCAAAAATAATGGAACCACGTTCCCCCAGTTACCCAACTCTTACTATTTATTAGTCTTCTTTTTTTAATTTGTTCCCGTTCATCCTCCCGTTCCTCCCCCCCCCCCTCACCCATGTCATGTCTTCATATGCTTTTTGTTGTTTATTTTAAATGGTTAAATGAGTTAAGCTTTTTATTGTTGTTTCTTTGTTTTTGACACATGGACAATAAACACGCACCGTCCTTCCCTCTCCCCCCATTCCAAATAGAGGGAAACCAATCAAAAGCGTTAAATCACATGACATCACGTGTATATCACGTGATTTTTATAATATGTCTATCAGATTAAAATAATGTAACAATTTTTAGTACATAACAAAGGTTTCGTGATGTAATTGGTTAGCATGTAAGACTCTGAATCTTGCCATCCGAGTTCGAGTCTCGGCGAGACCTCATTTTTTTGCAAATTTTTTGCACCTGAAATAAGGTGCGAAATCGGAGTTTGAATAAAAAATCAAAAAATAATATTTCCAAATATGTGCCTGTGAAAAAAAAAACAAGGTTGAAGCACAAAAAATTGTAAGCCAATTTTTTTTTTTTTTTCTGCTGTTTACCCCCGACCACAAAAAAAAAAAAGAGGGGAGGACAAGATATTGTAAGCCAATCAATGCATATTGAGCTCGAGAGTGATAGGGGATTGCATAAATAGATAAAATGTAAGATTATGTACAACGCCAATTGACGGGTTTTCAATGAAGAGAGGGAAAGGCGGGAAATACGGGTGGGGTAGAGAGCTTTGGTTCAGTCTATTTGTCACCTTGGGAGGGGGGGGGGGAGGCTTATGTTTGTATGTTGTTATTTACGTAACGGAAAGGTGTGTGTAAGCATGTGTGTGCGTGGGGGGAGGGGGAAGGTCAAAAGATGACAAATGTTTGTTAAAACTGAGAAGGTTGTTACGCAAGGGATTTATTATGATCGACGGGTAGATGCACGAGCAAAATATATATATATATATATATATAAATTGTTATCTACTAGTTTAATAGTCCCCGTGAGTCCCCAATCAGTTACAAGTGAGAAAAGATTTTATCATCTGAGGGATGATGGTGGATGTGGGTGTGTGTGTGGGGGGAAGGTCGGGTTGAAAGATATATACTAAAATAAATTACGGGAAAAAGCTTAACTTTATAGTGATTTCATTTATTATAATTGCTGGTCTAGTTGATGATGATGATGAGTAAAAGGGGTTATTATGTATGCCTTCTTTTCCCGCCCTCTTACTTCTTTGCGAAAAAAAAAAAAGATATAATTGAAGAGCCGTCAAAGAGAGAGAGAGGTACGATCTTACGGTTATATTTCATGCAAAGAAGGATCAAACATCACTGTACATGTTTCACAATAGGTCTAGATTAAAATCCATGATATTATATACAAATGACGAAATAGGGCCCACGGTTGGGATGGTAACTCTAATTGAAGACAGCTTCTTTATTCTGGGATGCGTCACTCACGAAAAGAAATAAAAAGAGTTAAAAGAGTGACAGAAAGAGGACAACAGATCACGAGGCTACATGGTAACCATTTTTGATCTCTCTCTCTCTCTCTCTCTCTTTTTGTGATCCGAAAAAAAAAGCTAAACATGTGTTCGGGAGATATAAATCTGATTTGCTAGGACATTTTATTATTATTTATTATTATTGAAATCAAGATTAACCGGAAAGCGGTAGAATGAACGACCGTTCATGTGCTACCACGACTGTCCCTTCATCAAAAAAAATTTTTCATTTATGATCCCGGGAGTTGCTCAGCAGTAAGGAACGGAAGAAAGTTTTTTTTTTTTTTTTTTCTTCATTCGCCTCTCTCCTCCCCCCCATCCCCTTTCTCGTGCAAAAAAATCTTGTGTACCTTTTTTACTTTACATCAAAATAAATAAATAAAAATAAAATATAGACTTTTTTTTTGTTTTCGGTGACCGGTGTTTTAAAAAAAAAAAAACCCAAAAAAGGACAGTATCACTCCCCACAAAAATCATGCAACTTGATTCGTTTGTTTCTTTTTTTGCCCATGAAACAAAGATTGTTTAGCGCACCTGAGATTACATCATCCACTCAGAGAAAAGATGTACTTAAATTAGTATGAAACTTTTTTTTTTTTTTGTGTGGTTACCAATGAATTGTATATCCAATGAAAAAAAAGATCTAGACAATTAAGAGTAGTAACAAATAAAAAACAATGACGCACGATTACTGTTGAAGACAAAACGAATAGAAAAATCCCTCAAGTATAGATGTAATAAAAAAGACTTTTTTTTTTTTTTCCCGTTATTGTATCGCCGATGATAATAAAAAAAAAAAAACGTGGTCGGGTACTTGACCGAGGTAACAAGAGATTAGCTCAAGAGATAAACAGAGAGAGAGAGTGAGTGAGTGAGTTAGAGAGTGACGCGTGTGAGAAAGTGAGAAGGAAATAATAAAAAAAAAAAAAAAGGATTTTCTGATAACATTGAATTTATTCTCGAGGGTAAAAAATAGAACACTTTATCTATGTGCAGCAATACATTATAATTGCAGTATTAGGACTTTCTTATATTTCTTTTTTTAACTCCTTGAAATAATAATGAATTTATTTTATTTGATCTTTACAAAAAAAAAAAAAAAAAGAGAGACCGGCTGACCCGTCCGTTCACCGACCCGAGCATGAGACCGATATCTTCCATTGTTGCTTTGGCAATGGTTGAACCTTTCCCCTAATCCCTACTATATTTTGAGAGGATAAAATAATAAACCGTCCCTTTTTTGGGAGATCCCCCCCCCCAAATAAATAAAAAAGGGGGATGATGTGGCAAGGAGTGTGTAGAAAAAAAAGAAGGGTCCCCTTACAAGCAAAAAACCATAAAAAATGGAATGTACACTTGGTAAATCAGGGGTGAGAGCTCTCTCTTTGTGTGTGTATGTCTTTTTTTTTTTCTTTTACAAAAGTGTAGATGCTTCACGAGTCATTTGAGGATTGCGGCACATGTTTTTTTTTTGAGACTCATCAGATCGACCTTGTCTTTAAAAAGAGAAGAGTGACGTCAAAAAAGAAGTGTGACGGGGGATACGGGAAAGACGACAATGTTGGCGGGCAAAAGCGGGGGATTAAAAAAAAAAAAAAAAGAGAAAATGGATGGTGATTTGTAGTGTGTGTAATCCATTGGGTCGAGTGGTTTATCATTGGTACAGGCGGACCAGAAAAAAAGAAAAGAGCTAACTGCACCATGTAGCGGTGGTATTGTAAATCCCCATATGGAGAACAAGGGGTTGGGGGGGGGGGAGTGAGAAAAAAGGGGACAGAATCTATTCCAAAAAAAGAAAGTTAGATTACTTCTTTTTAGGTGATAAACCCCCCCCTGCCCGTGCTTTTTTTTCAATATAAATATCAAGATTGATTTTCATTTTTCTTATCTTTTTTTCTTTTTTTGTTTCGTTTTGACCACCCCCTCCACACCATTCATTCTCTTTTTTTTTTTATATCTTTTTTTTTATAATATAACCCCGTAAATCCAAAACAACTCTTATAGAAATAACAACTTTTCTCTTTTTGGATCAAATAACAACTCTTTTTTTTCCCCCTTTTCTCTCTTTCTCTTTCTCTATTATTCAAAAAAATGACTGAGAAGACCGAAACTTACGAGGTCGTTTCCGAACAACCCGTCGCTCACAAGGCCAACATTTCTGGAAATCTTACATCTTTAACTGTCGAAGAACTCTATGACAAGGACAAGTATGATTTATCCACCATGGAACCTGGAGATATCTTTGAACTCTTACAGTAAGTATCCTTTTTTTTATTTTTTTTTTATTTTTTATTCCCCTCCTTTTTTGTTACCCTTTAAATTGCTCCCTATATGTCACCCCTTGATCAGTTTCACAAAAAATTTGATGGAGTTCTTTTTCCAAAGGGGATTCTTTTTTTTTTATGGGGGGAGGGGAAACTTCTATTTTTAGAAACAAAAAAAAATTTTATATATCATTTACTAAAGTCACAAAATTTTTAACCCTGTAGAACCTCTTCCAACGGTTTAACATCCGATGAAGCTGCCCGCCGTGTTGAGAAATTCGGTATGAACAAGCTCGAAGTCAAGGATATCAACCCTCTCTTGCAATTCTTGGGTTTCATGTGGAATCCCCTTTCTTGGGTCATGGAAGCTGCTGCCCTTGTTTCTATCGCCTTATCTAACGGTGATGGTAGACCACCAGATTATCCTGATTTCATTGGTATTGTTCTCCTTTTGATTGCTAATGCTACCATTGGTTTCCTTGAAGAACGTCAAGCCGGTAACGCCGTCAAGGCTTTAATGGCCTCTTTGGCTCCTGAATGTAAGGTCAAGCGTGGTGGTGAATGGAAGACTTTGGAAGCTGCTGAATTAGTCCCTGGTGATATCATCAGTATTAAACTTGGTGATGTTGTCCCCGCTGATGGTCGTCTTATTGCTGCTCATGGTGAGGTCTCCATTGATCAAGCCGCTCTTACTGGTGAATCTTTACCTACTTCCAAGGAAGCCGGTGATGAAGTCTTTTCCGGTTCTACTGTCAAGCAAGGTGAAGCTGAAGCTATCGTTATCGGTACTGGTACCAACACTTTCTTTGGTCGTGCTGCTAAGCTTGTTGGTGATGCTGGTGATGATGTTGGTCATTTACAAACTATTTTGGCCAAGATTGGTAACTTCTGTCTCTGTACTATCTCTCTCTTTGTTCTTATCGAAATCCTCGTCATGTACCCCAAGTTCCACTACAAGTACAGAACTGGTATTGATAACATTCTTGTCTTGCTCATTGGTGGTATTCCCATTGCTATGCCTACCGTCTTGTCTGTTACTCTTGCCATCGGTGCCAAGCAATTGGCTGAACATAAGGCCATTGTTACCCGTATTACTGCTATTGAAGAAATGGCTGCCGTTACCATCTTATGTTCCGATAAGACCGGTACTCTTACCTTGAACAAGTTGATTGTTGATAAGCCCACCATCAAGGGTTACTCCGAATACTCTGGTGATGATATCATTCAATTGTCTGCCTATGCTTGTCGTCAAGAAAACCAAGATGCTATCGATTTCTGTATTGTCAACTCTTTGCCCGATCCCAAGCTCTCTCGTGATGGTATTGAGGAATTAGAATTCAAGCCTTTCAACCCTGTCGTCAAGCGTACCGAAATTACCTACAGACGTAAGTCTGATGGTAAGGTCATCCGTGTTACCAAGGGTATGTCTCACACCATTTTGGATCTCTGTACTCGTGAAAAGACTGAAGAGCAAATCAAGGCTCTTAACGATGATGTTGATGAATTCGCTCGTCGTGGTCTTCGTGCTCTTGCTGTTGCTATTGATGAAGTTCCCTCTGGTACTGTTGATGGTGAAGGTGTTGGTTTCAAGTTGATTGGTCTCTTGCCTATTTATGATCCCCCTAGATCTGATACCAAGGAAACTATTGATCGTGCTATTGCTCTTGGTATCTCTGTCAAGATGATTACTGGTGATCAATTGGCTATTGGTAAGGAAACTGGTCGTCGTCTCGGTATGGGTGATAACATGTACTTGTCCAAGACTCTTAAGGATGGTCCTCCTCCTGGATCTGGTTACTCTGATGTCAATGAAATGGTCTTGCAATGTGATGGTTTCGCTGGTGTCTACCCCGAACACAAGTATGAAATTGTCGAACGTCTCCAAGCTATGGGTCACATGACTGCTATGACTGGTGATGGTGTTAACGATGCTCCTGCTCTTTCCAAGGCTAACGTCGGTATTGCTGTTGCTGATGCCACTGATGCTGCTCGTTCTGCTGCCGATATTGTCTTGACTGAACCCGGTCTTTCTGTTATTATTGAAGCCATTATTGGTTCTCGTCAAATTTTCCAACGTATGCGTAATTATTCCATCTATACCTGTTCCGTCACCATTCGTGTCGTTGTTGGTTTTGCCATCTTGTGTTTCGCCTTCGAATATAACTTCCCTCCTTTCATGATTTTGATTCTTGCCATTTTGAACGATGGTACTATCATGACCATTTCCACTGATCGTGTCAAGCCTTCTCCTTATCCCGATTCTTGGAACCTCCGTGAAATTTTCACTTATGCCATTATCTATGGTCTTTACTTGACTGTCTCCACTGTTGCCTTCTTTGCTGTTGTTTACCAAACCACTTTCTTTGAATCTCACTGGAACCTTCCCAACACCAGCCAAGATGGTCAAAGTGCTGAAAAGTATGTTAACCATGGTGTCTACCATTCCATTGTCTATCTCCAAGTCTCCACTATTTCTCAAGGTTTGATTTTCATTACCCGTTCTCGTGGTTTCTTCTTTACCGAACGTCCCTCTGTCATGTTGGTCTGTGCTTTCATTGTTGCTCAATTGGTTGCCACCTTCATTGCTGTCTATGCTGACTGGCCTTTCACTGAGATGAACGGTTGTGGATGGAAGTGGGCTGGTATTGTCTGGGTTTGGAACATTGTTTGGTTCTTGCCTATGGATTTCATCAAGTTCGGTATGCGTGCTGCTTTCGAGCCCAAGAACAACTTGAAGGAATCCAAGACTCCTATGGCTGGTCAATCTCGTCGTGCTTCTGCCATCTCTGGTACTTCTTCTGCCCGTTACTATGCTAACCGTACCAAGTCTCTCAAGTCTATGGAGCGTCCCCAAAACTTTGGTAAGAAGCTCCTTGGTATGAACAAGAAGATGTCTATGGATGCCAAGGAAATGCGTCGTTTCAGCTCTGTCCAGACTAACCATGCTGCTCAAGTTTTGAACTCCAACTAATCATCCCCCATCCAACTTTTTTATCCTCTCTCTTTCCTTTATTACTCATATATTTTTGTTATTATATTTAGACCTAATTTTTTTTCTCTTCATTTAATTTGATAAACAAAAAAAAAAAAATGTTAAATGTCACTTGTTTATTAAAATAAAAGTGAATCTTGTCTTGTTTTTATCTCTTTATTATCCCCCCCACAAAATACACACATATTTTACTATTAAAAAAATCTGTTTGTTATTACTTCATTGTCTGTAGATCCAATTTCTGTAATTTAACTTTGTACTCTTCTTTTTTTTTTTTTTAAAGCGGCACTCTCTTTTGACCATTTTGATCCAACCCCCCTTTTTTTAGTCTGTGTGTTCCCTTGTTGATCAAAAATAGGAAAAAAAAGGTTGTTTGTCATGGGCTGTTCGTGAGAAATATATAAAAAAAAAAAACTCGTGTTGCAATGAATGTCAATGTTACGATTCCCGTAGTATCAAAATATTCCCCGTTCCGTTGATGATTGGACCTTTTTTTTTTTAATTCCCATTTAAAAAAAGGTTATTTCATCGGTAAATCCTTTTCCACAAAAAGAAGGAGGGGGGCGCAATTAAGGTAATTTGGAATGGATGCCCCGATTTTTTTAACAGAAAACATTGGGTGGTACAATCTATGGAATGCTTTTTTGTGTCAGATTGTTCCCTTTGCCAAGCTCTTTTTTTTTTTTTTTTTAAATGAAACGAGGGGGGAGGTATACAATGACAGCATACTTTATTTCATGGCATGAATAGCAATGGGATAGATAAAAATAAACTTGATTGCAAAAAAATGACACAATCAACCCACCAGATCATATAATACGGATAGAATCAGATTAATAAAAAACAGAGAAAAGAAATCCATCAGCGCGCGATGGGGTTTCGTTCAAAGATAAGGATCTGATAATATTTTTCCGTCGCCCCCCTTATATTTGAGATTCAATATTTCCCTTCCTACTCTCACTCTTTATCCGATACGGGACGGTGATGACATGGAAATAATCAAATTTTATTTTAATCCATTGTTCGTTGATTTCATAACCAAGTTCATAATGATACCTTTTTTTCGTCACCCGGGCAGGCGGAAAGGGGGAGCATAATCAAAAAATGCCGCAATTTTTTTTTTTATAACATGTTCAAAACATTGACTTGCCTCTTTTCATCTCCAGTCCAAATCCCGACAAACATGTCATTTCCTCCTTCCCCCCCCCCCTCTTTTTTGTACGCAGATGACTCTTGATTGCGTATAGTTTCGATGAAAATTTTTTTTTCTAAAAAATAAAAAAAATGCATTACAAAATAAGGTATGATCATCGATGAGGGAAAAATCTTACATCCTTTTCGGGAAGGAGGCAATCGATCTATTACTGCGTTTTAAAACCACCCGACATAATTATGTGTGTGTGTGGGATTTTCCATGTTTTGAAACATGACAATTCCCGATTAAATGGTCTAAAAGTAATATATCTTTCTTTGCTGAGATTTTTTTTTGTTTTAGCTGAGATAGAGTTCAGTAACAGACAGAGTTACCCGCATTAGGAATTGTACCCGCGGTAGTTTTTTTTTTATTAGACTTACATGTATCATAATTTAGCCTTATTCAGGGTTATTCTACCCTTTCATAAATACGAAGAAATAAAACGAGGCACAATCGGGACACATTGATCTTCTTTTTTTTAAAAAAAGATACGGAACTCCGCATCTTTTTCTTTTTTTTTTCTATGCATCTCGGGATCTGATTGCTTGCGATTTAAAATTTAGTTCGCTGTCAATTGGGTAGGACGCAATAAAGTAAAACTACAGAAAATATATTATTTGATTTTTAATGCGAAATAAGCAAAAGTAAGTAGGCAAGAGTTAGGTCTAGAGGAAGGAAAATGGGGGTGTTTTTACATATTTATGTTAATTGTATAGAAGAATTATGAGGAATAAATTTTGTTTCAAATTGAATGAAGGGTTCATCGTAACTCTGATAGAAAATAAATGTATCCTCATCAATATAAGAGCCCTCTTCCAAAGAAATCACTTCCTTATCTTTAATGCTCTCCGTATGATTTAATCGTGCCAAAACTAAAACAAGAACCCTGAGTTTTTGTCCAGAATTAAATATATTAAGATAGATTGCATTTACCTAATGTCAGAGCAAATCGTGAATTCGGATTCAAATCATTTTCATTTTGAAATTCCACCTTTAACCTGATGATAGTTTTGGTATCAGAAATTGACTGCCCTGCTTTAAATAGTATCATAGCCGTATTTTCATCTCCACCAAAATTCGTACTTTTGAAGTTTTTGTCGACAAAAGACAAAAAAGGCTTGGAGGCCTGCTCGCCAGAAAATTGGTCACGAAAATCACGGATGTATGTAATGTAAGTTTTACTGAAAACCCGCTGCAAATTCCCAGTTCTGAATTCATCGTATATGTATGATTTTTCGTGCACAGCTTGCTTTAGTAGTTGATTTTGATAGTTCTGTAAGACGAGAAGCCATATGGTGTCGATTTTTTTAGCTTCTAAACTATGTTCGATTTCACTTTGTAACATGCATGTGTATACTCCATAAAGTGGCGAATCGTACATTAGTGTAAACATATTACCTGTTACCAATATAAACTCAACTGAGTAATATCCAAACATCGCAGTGTTTTGTACTGCGCCAGTTATATTTTCTGCGATGTCTTGTATTATTGGCTTCAAACCTATGTCAATGATATTACGGAGACATACTTGAATTTCGCAACTGCATAGTTCGCTCACAGATATATGTATTATTTTATCCATATCTAATATCAGCATTGCTTGTCTAAACTACAGAATTAACACGATAAGATACCCATGCGTATATGTTGTAATTGAGCATACTTACCATAATCTGGACTGATCGTTTTAATCCAGGCAAAACACTTGGATAGTTTTTCAAAGAACAATCTTTGTGTAAATCACAAAAATCAAAATCATTATTGGTAGAAGCGAAACGCCAAAGTTTCTTGCACAACACATCAAGTGTGTTTTCAAACATCACGGTATTATCTTCCAGAACTATAGACGATTCAGACACCTCTGATGATGAAGCTTTAACAATCTGGTGTAAGGTAAGATGTACATAGGACTGATACAATTGAGCCACAACAAAGCACTGCTTGATAGTGGTGTCTTGTTTTAAATTTGATTCAACAGCAAATAGAATATCTTCCCCCTGAGTTATAACCCGCATCATGTCGCCTTTTTTGCTTATATCACAGAAATCCACCTCGACAAGTAATGTTTGCAATTTTTCTTTGTGGCCTACAGTAGTATCCAGTAACATCTTTTCTGCAGAAATAAGATAAACAACGTTCTTAACCTTCCAATTATCTTCAAATTCTCCATCTAGCTTATTCATCACCAATTTGCTTAAATATCCCAGATATATTGCCAAAAAAAGGACCTTGTACTTTTTATGATAAAGGATCGATTCATTGCTTGCAACATCATCTTTACCTTCCGAAATTGAAAGCGATGTCGATACTTTGGGGTCATCAAGGAGGGTTTCCAGAAAAGGCCCATCTTTTATTATGCTTTCATGGTCATCGTTGGTAGGCCCGTTTTTTGAATGATAAGCCAATATGTTGTCCATTAATATCTTCATTCTGTATGATTAAATTTTATAAATATTTTGATCTTTAAACAATTAATTGATAGTATACCTATTATTGATACGTAGTGGCCTCTGGTATACTTTTACTGGAGGAAAGAAACAACTTAGAGGCTGTATGTCGCTGTAAATTGTTGTAATATTATTATTATGGCATTTTTCTTCTCTTTTTTTTTAAAAAAAACATAATCAGCAACACTTACTACTCATCATATTTTGAAGAATGCTGAATAAAATGATTTTCTCCTATTGATGAAAATGTTGACTCGATTGCATCCAGCGAAATTGCTGCTCCGAGGATAAGTTAGAGGATACATTATACTATTACCATTACGCAAGAATTTACCTATACTAACAGTATAAAATGATTTCCCATCCAAAAATGATACCGTCGAAGAATCATAGGAGCTTTCGGTGGGTATGTAAAAACCAGTTTGACTTGTGAGCTGTGACATTATTTTCTGTTTCATTTCTATTACACTTCCCTCCATCGCATTATTAACATTCACCATGCTTACAGCACCTTCCCCTATGTTCATTAAGGTATAGTTGAAAGGGTATTCACCAAATTCTCTCAGCATTACTTGTAACCAGTCGAACACAATGTCATAAACAAAATTATTGTTGACCGTTTTTTGTGTATCACGGGAGACCAAAATCGCTGTTCGTGACTTTCCATAATCGGATCGCAGTAAAGTCATTAGCTGTTGCGAAAAGACGGCCTTAATGGAATCAAACATTTCCGCGTGAATATCTTTTAAGCTTATTGACTGCAAACTATTGATTTCAACTTCGAACAATTCCCATCGTTTTGGACTCAAATACTGTTTAAATAGACGATGCGTACCTAAATTTTTGAAATCGTTTGTTTTCGATTTCGATGTAAGCTATAAATCAAATTAGAACGTACTTCCTTTTAAACTTTAAAATTTTTTATACCTTATGACTCTGATATCTTTTAAGCAGCTTTTTTAGCTGCTCGATTTCCCCTGATTTAGTCTTTGGAATTATAGAACCCACGCAAGCCTTTATGCCACTTTCCAAGCCGGAAACAAGAGGAATAGTAAAGTGTATTGATTTTTTTAGAGATGGTATAAAATCATCATTGTCTAGTCTTAGTTTCACAAGAGGAGAAGAACTTCTCGCGATAAACAAGTCCAAATCAACGGTCAACACTTCATCTGCTATTTTGTATCCACACATAACATACTGCCTGTCACGCACTATATCACTTCTGCTATTATCATGAAATATGTATCTGAAATTCGATGTAAGTTGAGTAACAAATAATAACCTCGTTTCGTGGTCACTTTTATGAATGAGCCCAGCTTGAATAAAAAGCGGGCGTAACATCTTCTCTTGAATATCCAAATTCCAATATGTTGGGACTGTAAACAAAAACCGGTGTTTTTCAATTAAGTCATGGTGAATATCTATAGAACTCTTTAAAATATGAATGACTTCTTCTGATACAATATGGTAATGCATGGTTGGCTCTTTTTCCAAAAATAAATCATGTAGTTCCATCAAAACATTTTGTACATATACAAGCTTTTCATCTTCCGCCTGATAATTCTTATATCCATTGTCATCTTGACACCCACGCCAATAAATCATTCCTGTAACAACACTGTACAATATTGAGGCCTGTAATTTCCTTATTTTAATACTGAAGTCTTAGCGCAACAGAAAAATTTAAATATATTTCATAGTCTAATAACCTACTTTATACCGTTAAACGACAGCCGTTCTGTGTCAGTATCCAGTAAAAATTCGTCGTACATGGCATAGGCTCCATCCTCGTCGAAACCTAAATCATTTGAGTAAAATTGGCTTAAAGAAATTAAGGAGTCTTACTATAGCTGATAAAATATGGATGCTCAAAATGTTCATTCATTTTTTTTTATGCACAAAAGCTGAACAGAGGAAGAAAAAAAAAAAAAAGTAAATACAATACTTCTGATGGTGATTTACACAAATTTTGGGCTTAGATTGGGTAACCGCCATCAAAAAGTTTTACACAAGATGCTTGTGCGCAAATCGAGTCCCGTCTTCCGGCTTTAGGTATTCGGAATTAAAAGTTCACGCTAAGCAAGATGAATGGTAGCTATTCTGGATAGAGGGGAATCAATCCTTGACGTTTTTGATATCGATTAAATTACTGAGTATCTTGCATAAATCTTCAGAAACCGGATTTATTTTTATTTACTCGTGTAACAACTGAGAGTGTAAGAGTTGAATAAAAGATGATACAGAAAAAAATAAATAGGATGTCTAAACCTTACGGTAAAATAGAACATTGTGTGTAATATGAAAAAATGTAGAGCTGGAAAGTTTTGATATTTATTTATGAAAAATATTCTGCTATGCGTTATTTTTTTTTTTGTAAAAAAATAATTAAATTAAAGGGCAAAAGTTTTAAAAATAAGCAACTGTTAGCGGCTCCTCTAAAACTAAACATCCGTTGTCGTTATGGCATTCCTTGTCGGAGCCATTTAGTCTGAGCGAAAATTGAAGAGAAGAATTGTAATTGTTTGGCTGGATTTCCAAATAAACATACATCCCGGTAATCAGCTGCTCACTGCCAATACTCAAAGTAGATATTTTATCGTAGGAAATATCACCCAAAGAAATAAGTCCTCGTGGTATTTTTGAATTTCTTAGTTTTATCACAGCTGTTTAATATTAAAACAGTGTTATCATTGAGATTCTGTTGATCAAAAGTTTTAGTTATTACCTAGTTCTAACACCTCGTAGTTGTATCCATTTTCGTCTTCATCTTCAAAGTTCATTTTAAATTTCTTGACGCAGCCTGTTATAGGAATCGGTTGCCCTTTTTGAAGAATAACCATAGCAAATTTTTTACGTAGGACGGCATTTTCGTTATCATATTTATAGTCTTCACAAAATAGATTATGCTCTCTGGCAAATGGTTCATTCAAGGCCCCAACATATATTGCGTATGTTTCACTACATGCTTGATGCAGTTTACCAATGGTGAGACAATCCCCCATAAACGGCAATTGTTCATGTGTGATTCCATGTGATAACTGACTGAAAGATTCCCTGAAAACAAATCCTCGAGTGCGCACCTGTTTTGTTTGAATGCTAGCAATGATGGCTTGTTGTAATATATTTGTATATATTTTATGAAGCATGGAATCACTTGTCAAATCATATAAATCCCCAAAAATAAAGACAAAATCCACTCCGTAGTCCCCAAATAAGCTTGTATTCATTAACGAGGCCACGATAGTTGTCGCTATTTTTTGAAGTGTAGGCTTAAATCCAACATCAATGATATCTCGAGGAGACAAAGAGAAAAAGCAATTACACTTATGGCCGAAACTAATTTTTTGCTGCTTATCAATGTCGCTGAGATTTTTTTGTTGCAGTGATAACTATAAATGAAGAAAATAAGTAAATTTACGCTCGTGCTGTATTATCAAATATCTCTTACTACAATGTCAACGATCTGTTGTTTTAGCTTTTTAAATCCGGATTTATAATCCTTAAGCAAATATAGAATATTTGACGGATCACCTCCATTTTTATGTGACTTGCAGCGATCAATTACACCGTAGCGTTCAATATGATTCAAGATATTAATACATATACTATCATTTGCATTTTGAGTCGGGATTATTTTATCGCGTACTATAATATCGGACACATTTTTTAAAAGTACTTTTTTATCTCCAACTTTAACATATTTCAGATCCCCCGAGGGTTCCCTAATCTTGACGACTTGATGCAATGTTATTTGGATATATTCTGTATGTAGCTGAACAATAGCAGAGTATGATCTGAGCGGAAAAGACAAAGCAAGGCTTTGTTGAATAATGGGTAAAATACCTTCTTCGCGAGTCACAATTCGTGCTTTTCTACATTGATCTATATCTTGAAGCATCCCACTTTCAGAAAATATTTCTTCGAAGTACTTTTTTGAACCGAATACTTCATCCAACAACATCTTTTCAGCTGATATGACAAATCCCAAATTCTTGTCTAGCCAATCGCATTGAAAGGATTCGTTTAACTTCTTTGCCACGAAATGGTTAATATAACGCAGGTACATGAGCAAAACTAGGTGAACATTCTGGTGATACATAAAGACAGTGAATGGCTTGTCTTTTGATCGCATCGGGTTTGTAGTGATATCATTCTCAAAAGAATTACTTTTGTCAATTTGTTTATCCGCTACTGACAAGCCTTCGATTACACATTCTTTTTCATTGGGAGGGGTTTTTAAAAGTTGGTCATACTTGCTCCCCATAAATTGTTTCAGTCTATTCAGAAATTTTTTAAGTCAAGATATTATGTAGAAAATTTAAGATAATCAAATCTTACCTAAAATCAACAGATAGCGTTGGCCGTTGATACTTATTCAGCTCGACAAAAAAATGGTTTAGAGGTATCACGTTGCTAATTAATTTAATTAACAATGGAATTCATTGACACTGTGATTACGTTTTTAAATGTGCTAATATTAGATGTCACTAACCATTTGCTATATCCAGTGGATCTTATTACCGAAGTATCGGTTCCCATGTGTGTACATGCAAATTCGATTTTATCAAAACTTATATCTGTTCAAGCGAAGTCAATATCCAATGCTATATCATATAATCTTGTTAGCGAATCCATGCTTAAATACAAGTAATTACCTATATTAATTATAAAACTTGGTATTGAGTCCTTAAACAATGGCATCAAAGGAAACACACCCATCTTCTCCGTTACATTTCCAATGATTTCTAACGGATCCCTTACCGCATTAGATTTTTCGATATAATGTTTTATCTGATTAGCAGTTCCTGCCAACATATCGGTAATTGGTACACGATGAATAGCATTCGAACCATTTCCAAATATTATTGCTTTATAATCGGAGCGTTTGTTGAGTGCATCTTCTAGCCATTTTAATATCATCTCATATGGACCCGTATCTCTTTTAGTAGCATGTATATCACGTAATATTAAGATTGCTGCATACACAAAAGTAGTACTGTAATTGTATAAGATTTTCATATTTCTCCAAAATGATTCTTCGATGGGATGAAATATACGTTCATAAAGGTCTGTCTTAACACGCATAAAAGAACTTCTGATATTGTTTGCATGTAAATTTGATAGGTCTTCAATTTCTTTTGGCCCCAAATTATTTTTGGTAATTTCCATCTCCAAAGTTTCTTGGGTAACAAGTATCCTCGTAAACTCTGAGCTCTGTAAGGTTTCTTCTAATCTATGCTCCGAAATAAACTACAAATAGATAACAAAGACTTAAATACTTTTTTTGCATAATATAGTCTTAACCTCTTTACCCTCGCAACCTCGTTCAAGTCCTCTAAACCGACTTGCTTGATATCGAGGCCGTCTATTTTTATGTATAATTCTATACATCTTTTAATTTTGGATTCAAAAGTGACACAAAATGAGACGTTGCTTAAAAATTTTGCGTCATAGTGGCTGTAGGCTGTGGTTAGTTGAGGATGGTAGGCTGAAAATAAATCTATATTGACAGACAGCCTATTTTCTGTAAACGTCAATGAACACACATGATATTTTTTGCGGCTTATGATCTTTTTGTTAATTTTATGGCTGATAGTTGCTTCCTTATCAATTTTTTTTTCATTAGCTGTTTTCTTGTCGTTATTTCTACGGTCATAATTATCCAAAGATTGGAGGTACCGAAAATCTGATTGAAGTTGAGTAAAAAATAAAACTTTGTCGGGATGATCTGTGTTCGTAATAAGTCCCACTTCAACAAAAAGAGGGCGAATTAGGTTTGTCTGTATCTTTTTATCCCATTTTGTAGGGAGTGTCATTGCAAAGTGGTAATCAGACATCTCAGCAAGTCGAGTACTATTTGACAACGGACTCCATGTCTTAATTTTTTCCAAAAGTCTTCTTGCACCTTGTAGAATGGCGGTATCATGAACATCGTATTCATAATTGCTTTTATTTTCTTTCCTTTCCTTTTCCATCTTTTTGTGTATTTTATTTAGCCCGAGAAAAACACTATCAACATACATGTGGTTGTCTTTTCCAGTGTAAAACATTCTCCGTTCATCGGCCTCAGCCCCTGAAAACATAATCTCCCCTTCAAGCTGATTATCCTTTTTAGTCGTTACTCGGTATAGAATAGAGGCTCTTTCCTCACTAATGCCATAAATCAATTAAAACGTAATAGCAGTGAATATATCAATTTATTCTACTCACATGTAATTTCCTCGGTTGACGCCCTGCTTAATACCACTGATAAAGTATTTTGTATACATTTTTTTTTCATCAAAACCTTTGTAAGGCATTAGCAACAAGTAGTGGTATCATTTCAGTATTACTCACAAATGCTTACGCAATATAGGTGCTGAGAAAAGTTGTACGCAACCTCCATTATTTGTTTTTGCCTTAAAAATTGATGCTTCGGGAAACAAAAGGGTTACAAAATTGTAAAAAAAATACACTGATTTATGAAGGCTCGGTCGAGTTCCACAATAACTTTGTTTGTACAAACAAAAAAAGCTTAAATTTAAGAACTTCGCCAAAAAGTAAAACCTTAAGCGACAAGGTATAAGGATTAGTTCCAGATAAAGTAAAAATGTATCTAAAACATAATCGCAAACATAGACATTTGTTCTAAGCTGCTTTGCTTTTTTTATGTGGGCTAGTTATTGTTCATAATGCTTGTACCACGATAGACTTCATTAAAGTTAGTTTCCAAGGTGAAATTCAACTTCAATAAACAGAAGTTTTACTCGGAATTATCCTAGATTTATTTTGCCTCCCTAGCGAGAACATTACATAAGATAAAATTGATTTCATAAATATTGGTGTGTCTATTTTTTATATCGAATTAATATGGTCTGCCACTATAATAGTAAACTGTTTGAGATTATTGACGTTACTTCTAGAAAGATCAAGACATCTGTAATTTCTTACTCCATGTGACACGTATTATTGTGAAACAAGAGAACGTATAAAACTGACATTCATTTTTTACAGTCTATACTTTGTTTGCAAGATGTTAAAAACAAGGATACCCATTACAGTGACACAAATATCGACCAATGACATATGAATATGTAAGCTCGAACCAACAAATGTTCGATTAAAAGCCATCCGGAGAGGATTCAACTTTTTCTCTTTGATAAAAGGCAATGATTATGTTTGACTCAAATATAATTGTAAAGCGTTTCTTTCTTTCTTATTGAGTTATTTTATTTATTATAAACCAAATATTTTTAAGTATAAGCGACTCTTGACTGTTGAGCAACAGAAGTGCATTTGGTGTTAGATTCATAATCATTTCCATCTCCAGTCATCCTTAGTGAGAACTGGAGGGTAGAATTATGACTCTTGTATTTTGTTTCAAAATGAATAGGATAACCAAAAGCTTTCTTGTTTCGAACAAGAGAAAATATACATAGATTATCATAACGGTTTCTATCTAAAGAAACTATCTCTCCTTGGGTAGTGTTTTCTGAATTCATCAATCTTACCAATGCTAATAAAAAAGAATGCATTAGTCAGAGTTAAAAAACACACTATGTATCCGATCAAACATATAACTACCTATTTTCAAAACATAAATAGTGTCTAGCTTTTTTTCCATGCTACCGAGTCCCATTTTGAATTGTATGATTAATCCTCCACTAGGAATTGGCTGTCCTTTTTGGAGTACAATCATTGCTGCATCTGAATCTCTTACAATGCTTGCTCCATCAGTGTTGTATTTTATACAAGATAAGAATGGCCTGGAAGCTTTACCAGACGACGGATTTTCATAAAAATCATCAATGTAAACTGCATATGTCTCACTTGATGTCTGGTTGATGTTTCCATAGCAGAAACTGTCGTACATAAAAAGCTTTTTTCCCTTCATCGGTTGTAGAAGTTCACAAAGAGTTTCATTCATGACATATCCAGGCGTATCCTTACCGTTCAATTCAATACTAGCAGAAAGTTCATCTTGTAACATTTGTTTATGGACTATTTTGAGTGGTGATTTGATTGAAGGATTGAAGATGCTTCCGAGAATGAACACAGAAGTAATTTCGTAATTTCCTAACAAGTCAGTGTTCGCAATTGCAGCAGCGATAACTGTAGTGATGTCTTGAATAACTGGCTTTAACCCTACATCAATAATATTGCGGAGAGATAGGGTCACATTACAACCACATGTCTTACTGATCGCGATATCCATCCCTTTGTCCATATTTAAGCCTGTATCTGTGGATGCAAACTACAAGAATAAAGTGTCAATAAACCAAAATTATAGCTGGTTTATATTTCCAATTAACGTACGATTTCAGAAAGTTTTTTTCTTAAGTTATTCATAAAGGTATTGTAATTATCAAACAAAAGCAGCATCAGTTCTTCATCCCGCATGGCAATTTTTGTAGGGCAGTTGCATATATTTCCATTTGAATTCACGTAACTCCAGATGTTTTCACAAAGTTCGTTGTTAGAATTTTCAATTGGTATAATTTCATCTTGGACTACAATAGCAGTAATAGCAGTTAAAGTTGTATCATGTGATTGAATTGCCTTGTGCAAAGTGATATGTAAAAAATTTTCATGCAGCTGCACAACAATAAAGTATTCTTGTAGTCTAAAACTGACTTGTAGCTTATCTTGCAGTACAGAAATAATCTCTTCTTCTTGAGCAACAATTCGAGCCTTTCTACGTCCGTCTTTTTTTCGAAGTATGCCACATTGGTATAATAGCTTTGAAGAATTATCGCATAAAATAATTGAGTTGTCTAACAATTTTTTTTCGACAGATATAACATATGCTATTGTTTTATCTTTCCGATCCACTCCGAACTGTTTATCTAATTGCTTCCTTACAAGTCCATTTAAATATCCCATGTACATGACAACAAAAAGTTCAACATATTCTATATCGTGTATATATGCCAAAGATTTTTGGGGGATTTCTAGTTCAAAATTCTCTTTGCAAAAACAGGCGCTGATCCTCTCCTGCAATAAATCTCTCATCCTTTTCTCTTCGTCGTCCAAACTACGACTATGGTCTTCATCACTATACAAGGCTAAAATATCATCAAAATGATTCTCTAGCAAATCTTTAATGCTTATTGAAATATTTGTGATTAATAAAAAAAAAGCCGTAAAAACGCCCATGTTTTGAAATAGTATTACCTATCAGTCACACGGAGTATTGGACTTTGATATGTAACCAACTGATCGAAAAAGCGACTTAAGGGCTGTAACTCGCTTTGGCGTGCGTAAAAAAGTTAGTTTATGTTATTGCTACAATGGCAAACTATTACCATTTGATGTAGCCATAAGAAGTTTCCCTAATAAGAGCGTTTTCTCCAACTAACGAGCATACAAAAGCAACCTCATCGTGTAAAATCGCTGTCATAGAAGTAATGTTAGTATTATTTTATTTTTAAAAAAAATACATATCAATAGTAGATTCGGATCACTTTACCTATATTGACAAAGTAACTGGGGCTTGGATTTTTCAGATCTGGCAGCGTTAAAGCGCTGTCAACTTCATTTCCGGACTCCGAGAATTTAAGCCTGTTTGCCATCGTCACTTTTATTTCGTTTTTTACTTGCATACTATTTCCAATTAAAATATTGCGCCATGGCATCTCAACAGCAAGAAGATTTTGACTACCAAACGTTACTATCTTATGCTTGTACTTCTGTTGATCATTCATATAGCTTTTGAAATAATTAAAAACCATCCATGCGATATTGCGGTTAAACCTCCTAATTTCGGGCCGCTCACCGGACGTGGTTTGTATGCCGTGTATGACTAACATAATCGGCCTGATATTTTCTGAATCAAAGGATTGCTTGGATGCTTTCCTAAATGATTCGGAAGTCCTACTGATAAAGTCAAACAAATTTTCATGAATTTCCGCCATAGTTATTGATTCTAATCTTTTGACTTCTTCGGAGGTTAATTCTTCACTGATATGACCTCTTTTAAAGGGTGTACTACAAAGAATTTCTTCCCATTTAGTTGTACATAAGTTTTCATTATCAGCAGGAAAGAACTATATAAAAAAATGTATGTACAAAAACTGGTTAGTGCCCGGTTTATAGTTTATATGTAAAAGCGTTTAACCTCTTGTTGTTGATATTGCTCAATTAATTCGTTCAGTATCGAGTCTTTCAAAAATTTATTTTTCAAACAATTTACTAAACCTTTTTTTAAGTGTCCTTTAAAAGGTATCGTGAAATCAGTGCAGTCTAATGGTCTCGCAACATAACTGTCGACATCAGGTTGGTCAAGGGGAGGGTATTGCGCGGAAAACAAATTGAAGCTGACATGCAAGGTATCATTCATAATTTTTAGTCCGGCAATGGTGTATTGCCGACCATACTCTATTCTTAAGTGCATCATCTCGTGTTCCATAATTCTTGGGGATTGAAGATATCGAAAAATTGTTTCCAGCTGAGTGAAAAATACTAGTTGTTGTCTAGAATCATTGTTTTCGATCAATTTGGCGTCAAGAAAAACAGAACGAATGAATTCACGGACTTCATCGTCCCAGTGAGGAGGAAGAAAAAATGCAAATCGATGAAATAAACCGGATTGCTTTGTGATTTCTTCGGGTGCGGGAGGAAACTTGGTTCCTAGTTCTGGCGGGAATTTGTATAAGGTATCCTTCAAAAAGCCTTTCACTGCATTTAAAATAAGAATGTCACGTTCATTTCGTACATTGTGTTCATAATTTTCATGATAGTTTTGGTTGCGCTGGGAAATCGCACTCTGATATATTCTATACAATTCCAAAAAGATGTTATCCACGTAGACTATATTCCATTTGGTTTCCAATGATTTTCGTTTATCAGCCTCATCGCCCTGTGCCAAAACTTTATAACTAACCGTGTCGAATAAAATTGAAACTCGTCGAGCTCTATTTTTTTTATTGACTTGCATTAGATATTTGTCTTATCGAAAGTAATGTTATTTAGGTTGACTCACTGTTTAAGATATGGATTCACTTCTTTTTTAAATCCGTTGAAAAAGTAGTCCGTGTAGACCCTATCCTCATTGAAACCTATATTATATGATGTAAATATTTGTCCCTTTTTTTAAGATTTTCATATACCAGATACTTACAAATAGTGATAAAATAGCTTTGGGAATAAGCAGAATCGTTTTCCATGATTTAATACCTGGATTATTTATCTCAACAAAAAAGAAACCAACAAAATAGGAAAAGTGAAAAAAAAAACAAAGAAAACCTTCTAATTGACCAGGCTGAGTCTGGTGTTACCATTAAACTTCTTTGTACTCTTTGCTAATTTACAACTTTAAATACTTGTGTCAAGCAACACATTTTTTATATTAGAAAAAAAAAAAGTAATTTAATCAAAAGCAACAGTAAGTTGCTCTCCTATAGCAATGCACAATCTTGCATTTTGATAGTCATCACCATCACCAACCATTCTGAATGAAAACTGAAGTGACGAATTATGATTGATATGCTTAATTTCCAAGCGGATAGGTGTATCTGATTTTGCATTTTCACGATGAAGTGAAAAGCAGTCAATGACATCGTAAAGGTAACCATCTAAAGAAACGATTTGTTCCAACATGGCATCATCTAAATTATTTAATCGAACCAAGTCTATTTTACAAAAAAAAAAAAGTTTAAGATAAACATATCTATAACTACTCTCCGGTTACCACATTTACCTATTTCTAATTGGAATCCGCTTGTATCTGCATTCTGTTTAAAATAATCATTGAGCATCTTGAACTTTTGAGTTAATCCCGTAATTGGAATTGACTGTCCTCTCTGGAGCACAATCATTGCAGCATCTCTGCCCCCTAGAACACCCGCTCTCTCATTGCCAATATCAACAAGGGATAGAAAAGGCCGGAGTTCATCACCAGGATAAATGATATCATCCTTGTAGACGTTTTTTACATAAATTGCATAGGTCTCTCTTGCTACCTGTTCCAAATTACCATTACTAACAACTTCAAATAAATGCGGTGCTTTTTTCTGGGTTTCTAATGTTCGATCCAAATCTACTTGCTTTTTAAGATCCGGGTTGAGCATATGGTGAAATGGATCTTGAAGAACAAAACCCTTATAATCCTTTTCTTTGTCATTAATACTGTCATCAAGTACTTTTTGCATGATCAAATAACATGCTTTATCCAGATCCGAACCACGTGAGGTGTTAAAGATAGTCCCCAGGACAAAAAGATGCTCCACCACGTAATTTTGGAAATGATCAGATCTTACAACAGAAGCTGCAATGATAGTAGCGATATTACGTAGGATGGGTTCTATAGCGATATCAATGATGTGTCGATATGGTATATCTATCTGATAAGCACAATTGCCCTCGAATTCGATATGGACTTTTTGTTGTAAATCGAAATTGTTTTCTTTCAGGAACTAAAATTATAGTCGAATAAAAAAATAGCCAGACTATTAATCACTAGCAAAAAGAAGAAAGAAAAAAAAAATGGTGCACTTACCATCTCGGAAATAATTTTCTTTAACTGGCCTAAAACCTTTACATAATTATTCAAAGAGAGTAGATCACAAGGGCCTTTTTCTTTACGTGTATGGTTGGTACAGCAATTGATTTCTTTGGTAGATACAATGTGTTTCCAAATGGAATTACATAAACTATCACTGACATTGTCAATAGGTATAATTCTATCTTGAACAATAATCGTCATTATTGGGTCAAGATTGACTACTTGCTGCAAAGTAACCTGTACGTAATTCTCATGTAACTGAGCTATGACCGAGTATGACTTTAGTTTCAGTTCTAATCCGAGCTCTTTCTTAATCACAGGTAAAATTCTATCGCCCTGTGTAAGCACGCTGGAGATGGTACATTCATCTGCCTTTTGAAGTATGTCAGATTTGTAGAGTAGGCAAGTCAGGTTTCGTTTGGATCCAAAAACGTTATCCAGCAAGCATTTTTCGATCGATACAATATAGCCAATTTTTATATCGTTAATATTTTTGAAATTCTTCTTTTGATCTACGATAAGCCTGTTGAGATTACATAGATATCTGACCAAGAATGTATAACTGTCGCCTGCTATGGGTACACATGAAGCATATTCATCAGTGTTTTTAGAATGGCTGTCTGGTTCTTCAAAAAAATCTCTAATTTTATCGGTATTGATCCATTCTTTTATGTCGGTACCAAGATATTCTGTCTTCATAAACTGTTGCATACTTTTTTTTTAAAAAATAAAAATTTAGCACTCAATTTTAAACTTCAATGCTGAAAAAATTTACCTTTTCATATTTCGAAACAAACAATCTTGATACATGTTCGGTGATGAAACAAAAAATTCGCCTAAAGGTCTAATTTTGCTTCAAAGAAATTTTTACTAAGCAGTTCCCAATCCACCTTCCTTGCTGTAAACTTACCATTCACCATGATATCTTGTTACTCTTCTGGTGGGATATTCAGGATCCAGAGAGGTTATCGTCAGATAAGTCTTTTCCCGAGAAATGTCTATCGCAACAAGTTCAATACATGCAGTTACTTTGATGTATAATATAAGATACCTAAATGGATAATGCAGCTTGGTTTTAATCTGACTTGTGAAAATTTTGCAATTTCGTCTTCATCGTCTTCATCGTCAATCGGTTCGGTAGATAATTCTTTGGCATTTGAATAACCCTCTAACTTGACAAGTGATAGGGGTGAAATCTCCTTATTGTTTGAAAAGCTTTCTAGTTCTACAAATGATAAGACTTTACCGTTTGAGTAATTTTCCAAATTGACAAGTTGTAAGTTTGAACGGTCTTCAGAAGGTGGATTGTGTTTGTTACAATTTCCCGTACGCGAGGTTTTTTCGCAAGTTCTTGAATTATCAGGTTGAAACGTCGAAATAATTTCGCAACGATCTAGCTTACTTCTTGGTATTAAGGATGGAGGCATACTGGTGTTTGAAAGTTGAATTTCATCACGAATCATTAAATTATTGCCTTCTTGCATATCGGTCCAAGGCATTTCAAAACTTGGGACTCTTTGGTTTTTTCCGAATTCCATTAAGTTGTACTGGTAGTCAGTAAAAAAATACTCCTGTCTGAACAAGTCTTGATTATCGAGATCAATTACAACTTCCTTCCTGTTCCCAGCCTTTTTACCCCCGTTCTTTTTCTTGTCCTTGTCCTCATCCTCATCCTTGTCCTTATCCTTTTTGACCTCGTCCTTATTAACTTCGTCCTTCTTGACCTTGTCCTTTTTCTTTTCCTCGTAATTCTCATCCTCATTCTTCTTGTTTTTATCCTTGTTCACATCATCCTTCTTGTCCTTTACTTTCTCATTTCCTATCTTACTTTTTTTTTCTTTGTCTTCAAAATTCTTGTCTGGTGTTTTAGCTTTCGACTTTTGTTGTCCAGCAAATCGAACCCAATCTTTTAACCAATTGTAAACCATCCAAGCCGTGAAACTACTGAAGCGGTATTCAAGACGATCTTCCAAAAGATCTTGAATCTTGATCAGAATCAAAATGGCAGTTCTTATTTTGGCACGATCCGTCTGTAGCGTCTCATTTTCCATGGTTTGTATGAATGTTTTTTGGATAGATCCAAATAATTTTTTATGGATCTCTTCCATTGTAATGGATTGTAGTTTTTCGTACTCTTCTTTGGTCAATAACATTCTTCTGATAGCACCGGTGATTTGTTTGAAAGGTCGATGGTTATGGATCTTCATTTGTGATAGTTTCTGATCTGACGCGGAAGAGATAAACTACACAATGACAAGAAAAAACACTGTTAACTTTCCAGTAAATATATAGAGAAACTATGCTTACCCCATTTTCCTGATATTGTTTAATCATTTCGTTTAATAATTTGCGATATTTCTTTTCTTCCAAATTAAATGCGCGGGCCTTTAAACAATTCTCTATTCCCTCTTCGACATTGGATGCTAAAGAGACATGAAAATGAATTGATTTGATGGTTTTGGCAATATAGTGTGTGCCAAGGGATTGCAAATTAGGATATTCAGCCGAAAAAAGGTCGAGACGAACGGACAGTTTATCTCCTGCAAATTTTAATCCGTACATTACAAGTCGTTGTCCGTTGACAATGGGTGTTTGTATCGTTAAATCGGTGGAAGGATCTTGTGCCTGAAGATATTGAAAAGTGGTTTCTAACTGTGTAAAGAACAAAAGTTTTTTATCGTGATCTGATTTCGCCATCAGTCCCGATTCTTCAAAAAGAGGCCGGATGATTTCTTTTCTTATTTCGAAATCCCAATCTGTGGGTACAAAGAAAGCATAATGCGGAGGTAAATGTACGTGATCTTTTGCAGTCGTGTCATTTTCTAGGCCGCCCATATCCATACGATAATTGTGCAAGACGTTCATGAGAAATCTGACCCCTGCCCCTTTGATTAAATCGTCATGTACAGCGTGTGTGTATTGTTTTCCTGGGGTTTTAGATTTTTCAAAGTCTTTGAGTCTGCGGTGTATGACGTTTAATTCGGTAAAGATATTGTTTACATGGAAAACGTTCTCATTCGTTTCGGCTTCTAATTTCCTTTGATTAGCTTCAACTCCCCAAGCCAAAACTGTTTTGGTCTCGATATTATAAAGGATGGAAACACTTCGCACTCTATCATAACGGGTGTTTTTATTAGAGTGATTCAATAAAACCAAGTAAGTTATTTTTTTTTACCTGTTACAGTGCGCGCCAGATTGACTTCGGTATCCACTAAAAAATCGATTGATATATAATTGATCCTCATCAAAACCTAATCTTATACGAGTTTATATTTTTTTTATGATGACAGACGCAAAATAATTGATTTTAGCACTTACCGAATGCTATACAATAACTATGTTTAGAATAATTGTATGCTTTTTCAACAGTCGTCTGCATTTTTTTTGCGAAAGAGAAAAAAGAAAAAAAAGAAAATGTCCAAAAACGGGAGATGTATTCCTTTCTAGCAGGCTGAGTTCTAGTGTTACCCTCCATCTGTATTGTGCACCGTATAAAAGAGCTTATTTTAATTATTGTTATTATTTACAACAAGTCTTTTTATCTTTGATTAATAAAAAAATGCGTATAGTTCTTGTTCTTGTTTCGTAAATATTTTTTACTTTATCCTCCCTGAAATGTCAAATCAGGGCGAAATTTTTTTGTTGGGTTGGCAATAGGTTACACAATCATACTTTTTCTAATCGCGCAGATTGATTAGTGCAGCATAGACGATTCAGCTACTTAATGCCAATATAATCCATGACAAAGCTACCATACCTTTTCAAAAAAAAAAAAAAAAAAAAAAAAAATAAAGCAGAAAATTTTTTAATAGTCAAATATATACTGTATATGTTATATATTTTGTCATTTTGTTGCCTGAACGGACCACCGAAGATTGGTTGTTTTATTTTATTTGGGGTAAGCTTTATTTTTACAGTTCAAAGGATGGTGAAGGATTAAAATTCACTGCATGTTATTAGACTTATTTAACATTCCAGAATTATATCAGTACCCATACCTTCTGTTCATGCAAAGCTATGACGTTTCGTCACGTATATAGCATTAAACATACAGCAGAATTTTTAGGACTGTTCCTGCGCATCATTAAAACTGTTTAGCTGATTTAAGTAACTTTATGCTCCTACACACACACGCACGCACGCACCTTGCTTGTGTCTTGATGATTCATTTACAGACGAAAATCTTTTGTTCCATAAGAGCATAAAAGGCCTCGCACATGCAACAAATAAAGGTCGCTCATCTTGATTTTTTATTTGTGTCCTATTTATTACCTCAGCTAAGGTGTATTTACAGCTCGCATACAACAAATTCTTGATTTGATCGGAGAAGCTTCTCTTCCCGATCGGTGATATCGTAACTCAGTGGTATAGCTTTCTGTATCCAACTGTCATTCGTATATCATATTTAGGCCAATCATGCAATCTTTAATATAGAAGTATGTACTCGTAGTAGGAGAAGTTGTATAGCAGTGTACAAGCATATGCTGATATGCAACATCAAAGGTTGTTTTAATTTCGTAATTTATTTATTTAAACGATTTGCTTAATTATTCTTAAGTGAATCGTGCCCAAATACGACAAGCGGCTTCGAATTAAATGGCGAAGATTACTTCAATGCTTTCTCTGACCGCAAGCGCCGTCAACGACTATATGGGAAACTCGGAAGCTCTGAGGTCCTCAAGGTTAAGGACTGGCCCCAAACCCATAATTTGCTAGGTTTATACGACGATTTCATGCGAACTGCACCGGCACCTGAATACTGTAGCGCCTCCGGTTACTTGAACTTGGCTAACCGATTACCAGAAGAGTACCTGCCTTTTGATTTTGGACCCAAGATGTTCATCTCCTATGTCAGCGACAATCACAGCAAGACGGGCAAGACGAATTTGCAGTGCGACATCACCGGTGCTGTTAATGACATGTATTACGCGGATGACGATACTACAAGGGACAAACCCAAGGCTGCATCGATCTGGCACATTTTTCCACACGATCAATTAGGGAAATGTCTAGAACTCCGTATTTTTTTCAAACGTATCATATTTTTTAGAATCACGTGATGGTCTACACGTCGATTGACATGCCATTGGATGATCGATTTCTGTTTTCCATCATATCATTACAAGCTACTACTGGAACGCAGATATACAACTACCAAGTTCCGATTTGCTTGGGGGGGGGGGGTTTTTGCATATGTTTCTTTTGAATAAAGGCCCAAACCTTATGGATGATGAAACAAACAATTAGATCATTCTGACATAAGCTCTTGTTTATCAGCTTATAAATAAAGCTGGTGCACACACTTTAGTCTTCTCTTTTTCTTTTTCCTTAACATATTTCTTCTATCGTATGAAAGTTACCGATAATGTAAAAGGTTAGTTAGTAATGACTCTTCTTTCTTTCAAAAGACGCTAAATTGAAATAGATATATTGCGGCTGCGGCTGCAGCTAGTCTTTGCTATAGGAGGGCGACCTCATAGACAGGGTTCTTGAGTTGTTAGAACTCACGGACTGTGAATAGCAGGGATTGCACTGTAAACAGGTGTAATCATACTGGCTGGCTGATCTTCGCCAGAATTGCTGTAAGTGGTATAAAAAAAATATGTTTGAGAAAAAATACGGAGGTCTAGACATTTTCGTTAATTAGGCCAATTGCAAGAGTATATCCGAAAGTATAAAGATTGTGATCGATTGCATCCAATTTTCGATCATGCTTTCTACATGACCGAGCAAGATATTGAACGCTTGGAAGCCGAGTATGGTGTTGTTCCTTAAACCCTCTACCAAAACCCTGGTGATGCGGTCTTTATCCCAGCAGGCTACGCACACCAAGTGTTGAACTGCTTAAATTCGATCAAGTGCGCGTTTAGCTTTTTAAGCCCTGGAAACGTTGACAGTCGTTTGCTCATCTCGGGTGAACTGCGTAAGCTCAACAAGCAAGACGCCTTACAAGTCTTAACGACTTTGGCGTATTCTTGGGTTAGTCTCAAGTCTAAATAACAAAAGCAACAACTAGAATTAATAAATAAAAAAATTGTATGTTTATAAGGAAGAATTAGTGTATGAATATCAAATATTGTCGAGCAGCTTTGGGTTTCAAAATTGTTTGATTAGTACAGTGAGTAAATAGGTGGTTCATATATAGTGCCAATGTAAATTAATCGAATTTAGAAAAGAACATGAAAAGTCAAAATATATCACAGAATTATTATTTTTTTGGCAAAATCAATTGATATATGTACACAAAACGATGTTTTTATTTTATAAATTACGCATCCACAAGCGAATATGAGGTGTTCCAGCCTCTAAAAAGGTCTGATCATTTCCTTCTTTTAACGCAAAGCCCATCTTTTGATAGAACCCACGTCTAGGATATTGGCTGTGCAAAACAATGGTATTAAACCCATCTATCAAAGAATATAGACCTACTGTCATTATAGAATGTAATTTTAAAACGAATGAATGCACATAAAAGATATCGCTTGAATAGATGTATTTCCTTACTTTTATGCAAATAATTATACAACATCATCGGCAAATTTTCTGTACCTAGGATCAGATTTTATTCACGAATAATACTAGAGAATAATTTACAGGACGGATAGATCACCGAGACATTAGAACCACCCCTTCTCTACCACAGTTTTTTAAATAATAAATTAAATATACATCCCTTTGACAGCCATCATTACACACCATCTTAATGGCTACTTTAATTAGTAAATAAGATTAACAGTGTACCCCGATTCTGTTCCTATGGATCTGTCAACATTACATGAAATAGATTCTTACGGCAATTCGATCCATTTGATCATATTTGGGCAGGAAACCAAGTATGCAGATATACTCCAAGATTTACTCGGGTTGACTCCACGTAACTACCAGAAGCATATTCTTAGTTTAATAAGAAACTGATTGGTTTTATAACAGCAGCGCTTTAGTCTATGTTTACAAATTTTCTTAAAATAGACATCTGTCCCATAATCTTATCTCGCTCTATTTAATTAGAAATTATATGCTCATCCTTCCTCTCATCTTTCTCGTCATCTTTCTACTTTTATTTATGTCATTATACAGAATGCGTGGGTATATCCATCACTGTGGAGAAGTTTAATCCGGTAAAAATGATCTCCACATGGGAAAACATGCTTATTGTTTCTAGCTTTTATTTTTTGTTTGACCTTTCTAAGTCAGACCTGTACATGACAGAAACTATGTGTAAAATATTTCATTGAAGCTTAAGTTTAATACGAGAAGCTTATAAAAATGTTTCACGATAGACTAATTGACAGCACTTACAATAGCTCTGTTTAGCACAATTATAGTAAATCACCGTCTGCAAAAAAAAAAAAAAAAAAAAAAATCCAGTAACGGGAGAATTATTCCATTTTGGTAGGCTGAGTTCTAGTGTTACCCTGATTATGTAAATTTTACACCTTATAAAAGAGCATATTTTTTTTTACAGCAAGTCTATTTATCTCTGAAAAAAAAATCATATTTAATTTTAATTACTCGTTTCACTTCATTAAACCCCTAAAATGTCAAACTATGTAATGCTCGATCTTTTTTTTTTAGAGTTGGCGAACCTGCATTGTAGTCGGTTACACCAGCGCATTATCTTACCAGATAACTATAACACGTAAACCGATCAACATCAGGAGCATAGATGGTTACGCTAAAAAAAATAGGCTTACTCATTGGTTTATCTGATTTTGGACAATGTGATCTATGACCAAGTAACCAGTTTATTTAAAGAGAAAAAGAGACCTAATTGACATATATATATATATATATATACAAAAAAAAGTTTATGTATCTATAAATTACGCATCCACATGCGCACATGAGGTTCGCCACCTTCTAAAAAGATCGCATCATCTCCCTCTTCCAACACAAACCCCATTTTTTGATAGAACCCACGTCGTGGGTATTGACCGTGCAAGACAATGGTATGGAACCCATTTTGTTTACAATGCGCAATGAATGTTTCCACAAGCAATTGACCGATATGAAGACCACGCGCAGAAGAGAGCACACAGAAACGACCGAGTTTGGCTAATCCATCGGGTTTGGGCCATAATCGAATCGTACCTACATCCATAGGTACGCCGTCTTTTTCACATGTTGCTAGCCAATGTAAGCAGACAGGGTCATTTCTAATTATTTTTTTTGGATTTAGTAGAAGAGTCAGTATGACTAATCTTTGTCGTATAATGTGAATAAAATTTTACTCGTCTAATTCGAGTTCAAGAGAGTATCCTTGTTCCTTGACAAAGACATCTTGTCGAATAGCATGCGATCTGTGGATTTCTTCCAGTGGGAGAGGGACAACAACTACGTTTGTATATTCTGACATATTTCCAAAAGAAAAGAAGTAATAGAAAATAAAAGAGAAAAAGGATGGAGGATAATTCGATAGAATTTATAATAAAATTCTGTGACTGAAGAAAAAACTGCCCACCCCCCTTTTTTTATTTAAACAATTTTTTTTTTATTTCCTAACATGACAGAAAAGGCTGTTTTTGACATTACACAATTACCTGCATCGTTTAAAAAGTTTCTTGAGGACAATGACATTGACCCAGCGGTATACACAGTAGCTGATCTCCCTCGTTACATTCGAACCAATACCCATGTGCCACTCTCACGACGCCCAACATTACAAGACCTAAAAGATCAGTTTGAAACTGAGCAAGTTATTCCTGTACCTGGGTTACAAGATTTCTTTAGCGTTCAATTGGGTGATAAGCGTATATCCGATATTTCGGCGTAAGATATATTACACCTCCCCCCAAATTCACATTCTATGTCCACAGTTATTCATTGTTCCCCCCCCCACTCCAGGTACAAGGAACATGCTATTTTTGGCATCGATCTTAGCTCCGCCATCGCCGTACAAGCATTAGAGCTCCAACCCGACGATCAAGTGTTGGATCTCTGTTGTGCTCCCGGAGCCAAACTTTGCATGATTGCTAATCTTTTGGGTAAGGAAGGCTTAGGTACTGCCACAGGTGTAGATTTAGCAGCCCATCGATTAGCCACTTGTCGCTCCTTATTAAAGAAATACAAGGTAGGAGAAAAAGTGAGGTTATTTGAAGCAGATGGCACAACTTTTTCCGTCTTGCCTCCTCAAAGATTAGGTAATCGCGTCATTTGTGCCACAGACAATGAGAAGAAACGTCAAAAGACGACCGTCGTGAAACCCTTTTGGGCTTCCAGGTTGCTTCGCTTCGATGACCAGTCGAGGAGTGGGATTGGCTATGATAAAGTGCTGGTGGATGCAGAGTGTACACATGATGGAAGTATAGCTCACATTCTAAAGGTAATCTTGAATTTAACATCTATAGGTGTAAAAGTGTGCTCAATTCTCCTTCTATTCACCATGTAGTATGAAAAGTGGGGCTGGGATGCGTTTGAAAAGAACTTTATGGACACGGATAGATTATCGAGTATTGCGGGTTTACAACGTGATTTGATGAAACGAGGATGGGAACTGTTAAAGAAGGGAGGCACCATGGTGTACAGTACTTGCTCTTTGACGATTGGACAGAACGAAGCCAATGTTGCTTGGTTTCTAACGCGTTACCCGGAAGCTAAATTAGCCTCGATACCAACCTACGGTATCCAAAAGGCCACCATGAAAAAGCAAACGAATGAAGCGTTACAAGGCGAGATTGAAAAATATTGTTTACGTTTTGATCCTATCCAAAGTCGAACCAGTGGGTTTTTTTTAGCAAAGTTTATTAAAGATGAAGAAGAATAAAAAAAAAGAAAGATTTAAAGTGCTTTTTTATCAAGAATTTCACTCATCATATCCCAATCCTTATCAAGGATCTTTGATTCTGTTAATGTTGCTGGATTAGGTTGCATCACACTATCATCTGGTCCTGCCTCATACTCTTCTTCCTCCTCCTCCTCTTCTTCTTCATGTAGTGTTTCTTCTTGTGGTGCTTGTTCTAGGATACCTAATTCAATCTCCTTGCCTAAATCCTTGATAAATCGATCAATGCGACGATGGTAACCGAAAAAGAGTTTATGCGAGACTCTGACCATGGGTTTTTTAATGACACCTTGCTCTGTAATCTTTAACTTGACTTGTTTCTCACCGATGGGTTCGATGAGAAAGGTCCATGAGCCACTAAAAGTGGAATTGGAGAGCTCTTCTTCACCAGGGGCAATATAAGGTCTTTCTTCCAGCACCCGAATGAGCTTACGTTCCTTTTCTTGTTCAATGTGCATGACCACCGTACGACGATCTTTTTTTTCAGTGTATTCTACAAAGGTCATTCTGGATTCGTCTTCATACTTGTTGATATCATTTTCGAATTCGTCATAACGGACCGTGACCTTGTCAATATGGCTACGCCAAGCCGGGTAATCTTCTACGCTGGTCAAGATGGCCCATAGAATCTCTGCTGTCGTGTTATATACAGTTGTGCGGGAAACAACATGATCGCTAGGTAAAAGTAATCCAATGCCATAAAGTAAAAGGGGTATCGTAGGTACCAGTATTAAACAGGTAACCGCAAAGGCTGTTATCATTTTTTTTTTTTTTTTTTTGGTTTTGTTTTGTTTGTTGTGATTAAAAAGAGAGAGAGAGAGAGAAAAAAAAAAGAGAGCGATTTTTTTTTATTGAACCCCACCCACCCACTTTATCACTCACTCTTTTTTTTTTTTTGACACGAGACTCATGTCTGCTGCTGGTAAAATTATCATATTATTTTTCCTAATAAAGACTGTCACTTACCAACTTTTTTTTTAAAGCAGTTCTTTACACTGTCGGCATATTGACAGGTAACTTTTTTTTCACATTATAAAAATTGGACATGTCACTCATCAACATACAGTAAGCGATTCTGCTTCTGCCGACCACGCCCTTGATAAAAGCGGTCCTCTCTTAAAAACTCTCTTAGTGGAAACAGGAAAATACGCTGTCCTAAACAGAACTGTTGTACCCGATGAAATAAATGCTATTCAAAACATCATCAAGACTTGGTCCAATCTTCATCTTGTCATCATTACAGGTGGAACAGGTTTTTCTCCCAGAGACGTTACTCCTGAAGTATATATCTTTTAACCCCCACCCCCACCGATTTGAAACCCCGTTCACTCACTCACACACACTCTCCTCTCTTTTTTATACATAGGCTGTCAAACCTTTATTGACAAGAGAAACACCGGGTATCACACACCTTTTATTATCTTCCTCCCTTGCTGTGACACCCTTTGCCGCACTTTCAAGACCCGTGACGGGTATCCGTGACAAGACCATGATTATTACCTTACCCGGTAGCCCTAAAGCCTGTCAAGAAAACATGAGTGCCATCCTAAACCTTTTACCTCATGCGCTTGATCTTTTAACAGACCAGAAATCCGTGAAACAGTTCCACGAGAAACTTCAACAGCAACAGCCACAACAGTCAGAGGAGACACCAAAGGAGCCAAAGGAGCCATCAAAGGAAATCCATCGATGCAGACATGATCGAGAGGAAGACTCGACACAACTCTCGGGTCAGTCTGCTCTTTTAGAAACACCTGTATCTCGTCGTTTACGCAGCTCACCTTACCCTGCTATACGCATTGATAGAGCAATCAAAATTGTAGGAGAACATGCGCATCGTTTGAATATCATGAGCATGCCCGTATCCCAGTTCTTACCAGGCTATGTCTTGGCAGAGAACGTTTCCTCTCTTGAGCCTGTACCCGGATACCGTGCTTCCACTGTCGACGGATACGCTGTTCACGGTAAATTGTCCCCACCGCCTTTTTCATTTCTATTTTCTTTTGTCATGCAGTATAACTAATCCCCCAAAAAACAATTTAGTTGAGGATGGACCTGGTATTTACCCAGTAGAATCCGTATCTCTTGCTCAAGCTACCACCTGCACCACATTAAGTCGAGGCAAAATAGCACGTGTGACCACAGGTGGTATGGTACCTGATGGTGCCAATGCTGTTATTATGGTGGAAGACACCAAACTGATCCGATCTTCAGAGGACGGTCAACATGAATTGGAGATTGAGATTTGTGCCTCTGCACATACCGGTGAGAATATCCGTGAAAAGGGTTCAGATTGTGAGGTAGGACAATTAATTGCACGTCAAGGACAACGTGTGGGTAGCGAATTAGGTACGTTGGTCTCTGTGGGTGTACGTCATGTAAAAGTGTATCGTAAACCTCGTGTGGGTGTCTTATCCTCTGGAAACGAAGTCTTGGATCATATTCATACCGATGTATTGAAACCGGGTCAAATTCGTGATACAAACCGTATGACGCTTTTAGCTGCTATTGCTGTGGCTGGTTATGAAGCAGTGGATCTGGGAATTGTGGATGACGATGTGGATGAAATGACAGAGAGATTAGAAGAAGCACTTTCTAAAGTGGATGTCTTGATCACAACAGGAGGTGTATCCATGGGAGAAGCTGATTTTATGAAGCCAATTCTGGAACAAAAGATGGATGCCACTGTACATTTTGGCCGTGTCTTGATGAAACCAGGTAAACCTACCACTTTTGCTACAGTACCTCAAGGAAAACGAGGAGAGAAATTAGTTTTTGCTTTGGCTGGTAATCCAGTCTCTGCCATGGTGGGTTTTCATTTGTTTGTGGTACCCGCCTTGAGAAGAATGGCAGGTTGGGAGAAACCAGAGCATGGGTTGGTGCCCGTAAAGATTGAAGAGGATATTCACTTGGATGCTCGACCCGAATATCATCGTGTACAGGTCAGGATCGACCATGGGGGTTTGGTGGCAACGTCTACAGGGGCTCAACAGAGCAGCCGTATGTTGAGTTTAGTAGAAGCCAATGGTTTACTTCAATTACCCATGCGTACCCCTGAAATCACTCTTTTACGCAAAGGAACGTCTGTTCCGTGTATCTTGATTGGAAGCTTGACAAAATAAATAAATAAAAAAAGTTGGCCACCAAGGGAGTTATTCGAGGGATATAGTATCTTTTTTTGTCTGTACGTGTAAGGGGAAGGCAGTATCATACTGTCCTAAAAAAAGAAAAATATCGTATTTTATACATGAATTTGGGGTCTATTGTTTATTTCATGCAAAAATCTGTATTTCTGCATTAAAAATAAAAAAGCATACATAAAAAGAGACAACACTTTGTTATTTGTCCATCATTATGCTTATGAATTCATTCTTTGGTTTCATATAGACACAACAGAAAAACATGTATTTTGCCACTCCTATTGTTTTACATCTCCTGGATACTTGTCAAGTTTTTGTTTTTTTTAAGAAAAAAAGTAACAACCGCTAAATAAATTAATCCGTCTTTTCCTCCCCCCCTCCCTCCCCTCCGAGAGATGCAACACCCCTTTTCTTACATGTCTTATGGTGCCATTTAAATACAAGTCAAAAATTATAAGCGTATCCTTTATTCTACCTCTCTCTCTCCCTCTCTCTCTCTCTCTGTCTCTCTCTCTCTTTTAAAAGGATGCATGGAAAATTGACGCTAGGACAAGTATTTTGCCAACCCATTGTCCCCATTTCATTCTTTGTAAGCTTCAGTAGTCTGATCTGCTTCTTCTTTTACTGTATCAAGAGCGGCTTTACAAAGACAGATAAACAAATCAGTTGGATCCTCACATTTGCCAGCAGTCTTGTCTGTACCATCACTTCCATCCCCTTCTTTCTCTTGTTTTGGCGCTCTGGCTGGGACATGACTCAGCTAGGCATAGATTCAAACTATCACACAGCTCTTGTCTGTTTCTTTATCTCTTACCTAATCCTGGATCTTTCTTTGGGCTCCATCTATTACCGCAACCGTATCACGTTGCTCACAGGCTGGATTCATCATCCATTGTACATTGGTATTCTTATCTGGTTACTACGGTCAAAATCTTCTTCCTTCTTCAGCACCAATTGCTTATTGGAATTACCTACCCTTGTATTGGCCTTGGGTTCCTTTCGAGAGAAATGGAGGTGCGATATATTGTTTGCTTCCTCGTTTTTTCTATTGAGGTTGGTATTTCATGCATACATGATTGTGGCTTTAAAGCAAAGACATCGGTTAGAGACTCTATGGCTTGTGGCCGTTATTGTCTTTCCATTACATCTCTATTGGTTTTATGGTAAGGGTACATCTTTTTTTTTACATCACACACAAAATGTTCGTATATTTATCTCTTCTTATTTTTAAAGGCATTGTCACACAACAAGTGAAAAGATATGCGGCTCATTGGCCTGTCTTTTGTAAAACTACACCTGCCATCATCACCCGTCGTCGACCTAAGCATTCTTTCCTAGATAGAATCTGCACCGTTTAATCATTGTAACTTTATCCTTTATTCCAAATAAAAAAAAACATGTATAAAAAAAAAATACAGAGTTTTTATTTTATTATTAAATATAAGAATCATTGATCCAGTTTCCTTCTTCATTCTCTTCTTTCACATCCTCCTCTTGATCGTCTTCATCCGTATTGGTCTTGATACGAGTCGCTACATCATTCAAGATACGTATACCATTTCCTACAAATCCTTCACTGAAGCTTCGCATGTTCTTTCCAATTTCAATGACCTTGGTAAAATCAAAGAGCTCCTCCCCGTCGTCATCCTCCTCTTCGGTAACAGCTGTACGTTGTGATTCTGGCCCTGCAAGTGCGGAAAAGTCTTCACTGATTTGGTTCATAAATCGAGCAAGTGTTGGTGCCACATCCATTAACGAACTTGTTCTTCTATGCAGCGTTCTTGTGCCTGGGCCTGCCATATCACTACCCAAAAAAAAAAAAAATGTTTATTAAAAAAAAACGGAGTGGCTCAATAACATGCAAACATCAAAATAAAAATAAAAATAAAAGAAATAAACAATGGGGGTGGTGGGATGTTTTATTGAATGGTGGGGGATGCTGGAAAAAAAAACTTTTTTTTTTTTTTATATATATATATATTACCTGGAAACAGTAGTGGTAGAAGGATCTTGTTTTAATAAAGCGATTTTTCGAAGAGTTTCTTCCGCATTATCCGCTTCTTCATCATCCGAATCTTGATTCATGATGATATTCTTTTTAATAAATGCCAACTTTTCAGTGAAATCATCTAATTTATCGCCTAGTATGGATTGCGCTGCGTTGGAAACAATCGATGATTTGCGTACGTGTGTTGCTTGTAATGGATCTGTCATAATGGGTGTCTCTGTGGGTGTCTCTATGCTGATAGGAGTTGTCACTGTAGAAGCAGCAGAAACAGAAGCAGTAGCAGTAGCAGTAACAGCAGCAGAAACAGTAGCAGTAGCAGTAGCAGTAGCAGCGTCGGTTTCTTGTTTTTTAAGAGCTAGGAAATCTTGCTCGGTCATGGAGAACCTCGAGAAACGACTGGTATTGTTGGATCGACTGGTGGTGGACATGAGAGGTTGTTCGCCATACATGGATTTCTCAAACGAAGGTTTTTTATGAATCATGGTAGGTGGTAGTTCGTTGGATAACTGAGGTAATGGTAATAAATGCAAAACTTCTCGTTCAATCTGTGGTATCTTTTCCTGTTTCTTTGGTATCTCCTCCTCTGTCACTGTCACTATAGTTTCTTCTTGAAGTGATTGTTCATCAGATTTATCATCATCATCATCGTCGGAAGCAGCATCAGCAGCAGCAGAAGCAGCTTGATGTAACTCTGTCCAGTCAGGCTCGTTTTCATACTTTTGTCGACTTGACTCCTGTTCTGTGACCTGGGTGCGGGAGAGTAAAAAAAAAAAAGTTTAATTTATGAAAAAGAGGAGTTTGTATGCCCTCTTTTTGTTTACCTCGATTAATTGTTCTTCCTGTGAAGGTAGCACAATTTTCGGTGGTTCTGGTTGTTCGTCTACTCTTGCAAATGGGTTGCGAGAGAGGTTAGCCGGATGTTGTAAGAAATGAGTAGATTCAATGTGAAATGGAGCAATGTTTTGTTCTTCTTCCTCCTCGTGGTCCGAATCGTCTTCAGGTAACTGAATACCTCTTGTTCGAAAAGAACTACAACAAGGAATACTCCAACGGGATCTGGGTTCTTCTCTCTGTAGCTGAATACGTTGTTGAAACATTGCTGGTTTTAAGAAGGAAGAAAAAAGAGAGAGAGAGAGAGATAGATAGAAAGATTTTTTTTTTTTACTTTGTTCCCCCCAGTCTTGTAGGACAGTTTGTTTGTATCACCTCATTTTATACCAGCTTTTATATTATGCTCACATGCTTTGGAACTCCATCCTGTACAGCGCATCACTTTAGCATCGTCGGAAATGATCCCCATCTATTTTAAACCAAAAGAAGAGGGCCTTTCTTTTTTTATTCTTAGTACTTTACATGCTGCTGACAGGATTTTAGAGATCAAGTGTGTGAGTTTCAACCTTATACTTGTCAATCTGTTTATTTACTTTTTTTTTTTGCAAATAAAGAGGACAATGTTACACACACGAATCGTTTTTTTTTTATAAAAAAAAAGATATTCTCAACTGAAAGCTTGTGTCCCACATGAAATCGAAGTGACATTCGGAGAGTAGATCGTTTTTTATACAAGAAAGAAGAAACAAGTGATTTTTTAAACGGGTGAGATTAGTCACATGGCTTTTTTGGGCTATCTGTCATGATGATTGTATCTCTGGCTTATTGATATTTGTATATATACGCGTGATAAAAGAGGAGAGGAAAAACTCACGAGAACAAAAATCCTTTTGTCTCTCTCTCTTTTTCTTTTTCTTTAGTTCCATAAAAAATATGTATCCTCAAAGACCGTCTCTCCCACCATTGTACTTTCCTCCACCTCCACCCCATTTTCATCATTCGCCTCCTCCTCCGTCCCATTTTCATCATTCACCTATTCCCAGAGGTAATTTTCATGTACCTACACAAATCATTCGTCAGCAGCAATATCAATATCATCTGCAAAGACTGCAACAACAACAACAACAACAACAAAGGAGAACGAGTCGTCATGGTAACGATCTTCGTTATCGTCAACCAAGTACGGCTTCTTCTTTCCAGAAAAAATATGTTTCAGGGGTAGGAGACGGTCTTAAATCTCCTCAAAGTATCAGTGATCCAAGGCAACCTCCATTTTCCTTGATGCGTGGATTCAAGAAGGCTACCACTTGGTATGCGATTAAAAAGAAATACACATACATACATACATACATACACAAAAAAAAAAGCCCATTATTGACACTTAAGCCCTTTTTTACACACACAAACAAACTTATAAAAATAGGATTGGCAAGACATTTTGTTTTTGCGCTACAGACGATAACAGTCATATCATTGATATCAACCACATGCAAAAGAAAGAAAGAGTAGATTCTACAATAAAAAAAAACTGAATTTGGGTTTCTTTTTTTTTTTTACTGCAGATTTTAAAAAAACATTGTTGTTGCTTCCCCCAGTAGCGTATTGTTGTTGTTGTTGTTGTATAGGATTCCACACACACAAAAATAAAAAGAACGAAAACGCGACAGGATTTTTTGAAAAAAAATAACAAATTTAGAAAACAAGAGCAGCACCCTTGGTCTTCTTATCACCACCTAATTCGAAGTGCTTACATCTCTTGATAGCGAGTTGCATCTTGTACTTACAGGCTACACATAATCGATCGTTAGTATTTCTCTTTGTACACACACACACACACAAATTAAAAATAAAAAAACTTACCGGTACACTCAAGACGAAGGACAATCTTCTTGGTAGTCTTAGCTTTCTTGTGGAAAACGGGCTTGGTTTGACCACCATAACCGGCTTGCTTACGGTCATAACGTCTCTTACCTTGAGCAAAGAGAGAAGCCTTACCGGCCTTGTATTGAGTGACCTTGTGAGGGGTGTGCTTTCTACACTTGGAGCCCTTGCAGTAGGTGTTACGGGTCTTGGGAATGTTGACCTAATTTAAAGAATGTTAAAACTTTCATCAAGCTCTCTCTTTTTTCATCATCAATCCGCCTCCATGGTTTCTCATCTTTTCTCTCTCTCTCTCTTTCTCTCTCGGTCGCTGCAAAATAAATTACTAAATGTTCTCCCCCCAACCTCATGGAATTTGATGATGGGAGGCCATGCCCCGGCTAGGTTGATAAAATAATTCCTTCATTTTTTTTTGTTGTTGTTGGTTTTTGTATGAGAGAGATAGATGATGTGGGATTCGCCATGGTGGATGGATGATGTGGGATTTTATTTTTTTAACAAGTGTCAACCTACCATGTTAAATTCAACTGTATGCCAAAAGAGAAGGAACTATGCCAGATACCATTCAGACCTCTACACTTTAATCCCGCGCACACACCCAATCCCCCCACCCCCCACCTCCCCTCTCCCCCGTTGCACACTAGAGGACCTGTCTGAGGTCCGGTCCGGAACTGAAGTGCTTTTGTTTTCCTCCTCCCTCCCTCTCGGAGAGTAGCACAAACAAAAGATCCAAACCTGTCACTTTTTTTTTGAGTTTGCATAAGTGCATTCCTCCATTTATCACAGTTTGGATTCCCTCGGTCATGAGGCATATCTTTTTTCACTGTTTTTACTACTGAAAAAAAAAAAAAATTCATTGGCAAACAATAGCTGAAATAGTCAGGGCAATCAAAGTACAAATAAATTCATTCTGTTTTATAAATAACACTCTCGTGTCTATTTCTATCATAAAAACCATTGGAACACACATAGATAAAACTCAATCCCATTTTTTTTTTTAATTTTACATCATATACCCCCCCAACATTTATCGTGCGCTACCATAGTAGCGATTCCACTCCCGGCACAATCAGTACAAGCTTGTTTTGATTGGCTGAAATTTGCCTTGCCCATAAAAAGCAACAAGGGGTTGTCAGATTTTTTTTTTTTCACTTCTTCTTGCAAACACCTTTTTTTTTAAAAAGAGAACTCGCCCATGCTTAAAGTTCGTTCGACGTTTAGTCTACTCCAGCATAAACAACTACCAGCCACGTTGGTGGTTGGTTCAGCACGTCAGTACGCTACACGTAAATTACCCGTGGATTTTGCAACCATTGAAGAGAAATGGCAGACGCGATGGAAGCATGCGACACCAGCGGCTGTGGATCCCAGTAAACCCGATTATTACACACTGTCCATGTTTCCTTACCCAAGTGGCATGTTGCACATGGGTCATGTGCGTGTCTATACCATTAGTGACACCATTCAACGTTTTCGAAAAATGAAGGGATACAATGTCCTCCATCCTATGGGTTGGGATGCCTTTGGTTTACCTGCCGAGAACGCTGCTATCGAAAGAGGTATCCATCCCGCTGAATGGACCGTGAAAAATATTGCCATTATGAAGGAACAAATCTCGAAATTATGTATTGGTTTTGATTGGTCTAGAGTAAGTTCCTCTCTCTTTTTGTTCCTGAAACCTTTTTTTTTTTGACATAATTTTTTTTTTTTACACAAAAGGAAGTATCGACGTGCGATCCAGAATATTATCGATGGACACAGTATATTTTTTTGGAAATGTATCATGCGGGATTAGCTTATCAAAAGGAGGCCGTCGTGAATTGGGATCCTGTCGATAAGACCGTGCTTGCAAATGAACAGGTCGATCATGAAGGAAAATCATGGCGTTCCGGTGCTCTTGTTGAAAGAAAAAAGTTGAGACAATGGTTCTTTAAAGTCACCGAATTTGCTGATGTAACGAGTCGTAACTATTTCCTTTAGTAGTTCTTACCCACCACTTTCATCTATTTACCCTCTTTTTTTTTTTTTTACCTTAGGATCTTTTAAAAGATATCGATCGCTTGGAAAATTGGCCTGAACGTGTAAAGCAAATGCAAAGAAATTGGATTGGAAAGTCAAAGGGTGCTGAATTTGACTTCAATATTGTAAGACAAAGAGAGATGCGGGGGGGGGGATATCCATTTGGAGCGAAAGAGAGAGACTGAACTTTTTCATCTTTATAGACTTCATCCAATGCTGCCAATTTAGAACCCATCAAGGTATTCACCAGTAGACCCGATACCATGTTTGGTGTACAATATCTTGTACTTGCTCCTGAACATCCTTTAGTCACCAGAGAGTAAGACCTTTTTTTAAAAAAAATATATTATCATATCCTCTCTTTTTTTTTTTACTCACACGTATCTAAAAAAGAAACCTTCCATCCGAACAAGCAGATTCTGTATTAGATTTCGTCCAAGACCTTAACAAGAAACAAAATATGCAAGAAGCCGAAGAGAATAAAAAGGGTGTATTCACTGGCTTGTATGCACTTAACCCTTTCACCAACGAGGATATCCCAGTCTACGTTGCCCCTTATGTCCTTTCCGATTATGGTACGGGAGCTGTCATGGGTGTTCCCGCTCATGATAAGCGTGATTTCGAGTTTTGTAAAGTCAATGGAGTCGTCGACCAGATGCGGTACGTTGTTGAACCCGCCATCAAGGACTTGGATCAGTCAACCGGCGTCGATACCAGCGTTCCCTATGTGGCTCAAGGTATTCTGACCGCTGCCTCAGGTCCTTATCAGGGCATGAAATCAAAGGAGGCTGGAAAAGCAATCTTAAAAGCGGCCCAAAGTATGGGCGTAGGTCATCCTGCTACACAGTTTAGATTAAAGGATTGGCTCTTGTCTCGACAGAGATATTGGGGTGCACCTATCCCTATCATCCACTGCCCTTCATGCAAAGTAAGTTGACTTTTTTTTTTTTAAAAAAAAAAAATAGGGTACATATCTATAGATTCCCCTCCACCAATTTTTTAACACACATACACACACAAAAAGGTGGTGCCTGTTCCAAAAGAAGATCTTCCAGTCAATCTTCCATTAGATGTTGAATTTTCCGGTAAAGGACAATCCCCACTTGCTCGTAAAGAAGATTGGGTGAACTGCAAGTGTCCAAAGTAAGCTTTTCCTTTCTCCCCCCCTTTTCTTATATATATATATATAAAGGCTAATAGAATAACATAGGTGTCAAGGACCTGCAAAACGAGAGACAGATACGATGGATACATTTGTGGATTCGTCCTGGTATTTTATGAGATACACAGATCCTAAAAATAAGGAATTGTAAGTTAATGAAAATATCCATTGTTCAAGAATCCTAAAATCTTTTTTTGTTACTCGGGTGGTGAATTGAAACAGACCATTTGATCCAGTCAAGGCCTCTTCTTTGTTACCTGTGGATATTTATATCGGTGGTGTAGAACATGCCATTCTTCATCTCTTGTATTCCCGTTTCTTTTCCAAGGCATTGTTGAAACAAGGCGCGTATCAAGAGTTACCCAATACTAAACCTGGTAACGGTGAACCATTTAATGTCTTACTCACTCAGGTAAACCATCTATATATATCTATTTAAACGATACAAATACAGTCAAACTCATATGGAAATTTTTTTAGGGTATGGTTCATGGTCGTACTTATAAAGATCCCAAGACCTCAAGATTCTTGAAGCCTGAGGAAGTAGACGTATCAGGTAAAACATATTTGTAGAAAGGGGATTTTGTGTTTATTTTCTAACCCTGCTCAAAAAAAAAAAAATCAAGATCATGATAATCCAAAAATCATTGCTACCGGTGAGCAACCTTTGATTTCATTTGAAAAGATGTCCAAGAGTAAATATAACGGTGTTGATCCTGTTGTAAGTGACAATGTCCAAAAAAAAATTATATCTTTACTAACAATCGATGCCTTTTTATATACATATATAGTCGGTTGTAGAGGAGTGCGGTGTTGACCCTACCCGTCTTCATATCTTGTACAAGGCACCTCCTTCTGAAGTTCTCGAATGGGAAAGTGACAGTATCATTGGTATGCAACGATGGTTATCCAAGGTCCTCAAGCTTTCCAAATCCACTACCCTCACATCCAACGAGATACCAGCTCTTACCTCCATGTCAACCGAAGAAAGAGAAATGTACAGAGTGACTAACCATACCGTCAAACAAGTCACCGAGAGCATGTCCAATTCGTATTCTTTCAATACCGCTATTTCGGATCTCATCAAGCTGTCCAACCATGTTTCTTCATCGTCTGTTGAACCTGCCTCCGCTGTGTACCAGCATGCTGTTCAATCGCTGGTGAAAATGATGGCCCCCATGACACCTTCCATGAGTGAAGAATGTTGGGAATCGTTGCACGGACAAGGTGAGAAGAGTCACAGTGTACTTGAACAGACATGGCCTACATTTGTACCAGAAGCACTTGAAAAAGATCAGGTGGATTGTATTGTACAAGTCAATGGTAAGACACGATTAAGTATTACTGTGCCTAAAGCATTGGCTGGAAATGCACAAGAAATTGAAAAACTTGTGAGAGCTTCCGAGATCGGTCAAAAGTGGTTGGCAGATAAACCTGTTCGTAAATTGATTTTGGCAAAGAAGGGTGAATTGATCAATTTTGTACTTTAATTTATGTAAAAAATATATAAAAAAAAAATGTAGAATTTCAAATAAATAATCGTTAGTGGGTATAAAAAAATACGCATCCGTTACTATGCTTTGGTTGAAAAGTGGAGGCTCTTTTTTTTTTTTTTTTTCGGGAATATATCCCCCCACTTGATTTTTGTTGGTTAGTTAGTTAGTTAGGGTTAAGCTTAAAGTTAGGGTTAGGGTAATGGATCTATCTCGTCCGTTTTTTTGAAAAATGGATGAGGTCTCGTATACATAAACGGGATATGTACTCAATCTCAGGGCTTAAATTCAGTTATTGTGACATATAGATTGCTAGACCTCATCCATTTTTTTAAAATTGTCTATTTTGTTACAGACAGAGCTTTATACGTACAGAGGTTTTTTTTTTTTTTTCGTCCACCCCACACCACCTTCACGTACAAAAAAAAAAGGACCTTCTATTACTTTGACATCCTCTCCATCAATTATTAAACTTAAATGACATTCACTCTTTTCGCAATCGAGCACATGAGACTCAGTCCATTCGTCGATACATGTCGTTGCCTTTATTAATCTTTCAATAACATACCTTTCAACTCTGTGGAAATCGATATAGATTTATAAATAAAAACAAGAAAATTATCAAACTTGCAAAAATTAACTAAGGCTTTATTAAACAAATAAAAGGGGGTCTTTATATACGCATTATTTCAGACATTGATCACAGATGGGCTGATGACGGTCGTGGGTAGATTCACCTAGATAATACTCGGATGTAATGATCCCATATAGAAAGGCCATAATGAGATGTCAATAACAATAACAGTAACATTCATTCTTAAACTGTGTATGTCTTGTAGCACTATATTCAGGGGAAAATGTAGTTCTTAATTCAGATAACTGTGGCACCTCAATGTGGCTGATGTAACCTTCATATGTTTTCATATCAATGTTATTATTTAAATGTATGTCTTATACTCGTATGAAGGATGATATGAGATCAAGCCTATACATAAAGTAAATGATCAGTATTTAATATAACAGTATCAATAAGAATTATTTTTAGGATTATTAAATGGAAGATGTAAGAAGTGCAGATAGAGTCATATATTAAGTATACAGCCTCGATCACGACACTGACAGAGGAAGGATCGTTATTTACAACAGTCTTCAGCTTGGACCAAAACTCTTCGACCGGATTTAAAAAAGGAGAATAAGGTGGCAAAAAGAGAAGTTTATAACCACGTTTCCCAACCCAATCTTCAATAAGTGCAGCCTTGTGATTGGATGCATTGTCAAGAACAAGATATGTGTAGTTCATCTTAGCCGCATCCAGTGTCGTAAGGACCTGCTCTATGTATTCAAGTATTACCATTCTTTGCAGACAGCTAACTCGATTTTCCGACGCAACGACTGATTTCCGACTGTACCCAACTACCTGGTATCCATCTTCCTTCAAGTCATTGATGATTTTGTGGTGATTTGGTAATACTTGTAAGATATCCTCTGCTACAGAAACTATAATAAAAAAGAAATCAGTACTTTTTTCTTCTTCTTGTTTTTTAACTGACCATAGTTGACATTGTGCAAGACATTCAATTGTCTGCTTCGAGCTCTGATTTCTGTGCTTGTTTTGTCCTTGCATATCTTTATTTTATTCAATATGAGCAACACACGTTTACGTCTTACAATTTCCCAAAAAATTGAAATTTTAGATCAGTTTGGAATGGGAAACACCAATCAGATAAAGCTCGAAAAATGGGCACAAAAAAAGTTTGATTTAATAAAGCCTCTTTCACAACAAACTGTGTCAAACATCCTCAACAATGCCGATCAGTTGTATTCTAACATTGTTGTTATCAAGAATAGCAAGAGTTTGAAGCTACCCAAGTATCCTCAACTTGACGAAAAAGTGGAAAAATTCGTGAATCATATGAATGATGACTGCAGCATACCAGTAAACCGTGCCTGTATCATCGAGTACGTCAAGCGCATCGCTCGTTCAAAGTACTCCATCACTGATGATATTACCTTTTCTGATGGATGGCCTTCCAAGGTCTTCAAACGTCCCGGTTTAAAATGTAGACCAACTCATGGTGAATGTGCCTCTGTTGATGTCAATTCCCAAAGCATTCAAGACCAGTTTGACAAAATTCGGGAAGAATTGACGGATTATCCTCTTGCTGATATTATGAACTTTGACGAGACCAGATTGTACTACAATCAACCACCAAGAAGAACAATTTGCTCACAACCACTTGGTGGGTTGAAGAAAAGTAAGACCCATGTGACTGTGGGGTTACTTTGCAATGCAGATGGTACCTACAAAGGCCATCCCATTGTCATTGGGCAATTCAAAAGCCCTCGTTGCTTCAAGGAAAACCCCAAAATGCTATCAATGACAGCTATTGGTACCCGCCGTTACGTGGAGTATCGCCACTCGCCCAAGGCTTGGATGACCACTGAGATCTTTATTTTTCTTTTTGGCTCAATCGATGTCAAATCAACGTTGTTTTTATTTAGCTATTGACTGAATCCTAGAAGAGCTTTCTTGTCAAACTTAGATGTGAATTTCCAGATTACTGATAAGATGTCCTTATCATGCACAGAAATTAATTTATAACGTGGATCGAAAAGATATTCCTCTTTTCGATAAATGTGATTTAAGAACTCTACAATCTGACTATCATTTTCTGCATTATAAATTTAGTTAAATTACACTTTATTATTTTAATTTCTTTCAAGCTTTACCAAACATCAAGTCTTCTTTATCTTCCCTCGTAGCTGCTTCATTGGTCTTAGCTGCTTCGTCTTCTAGTTCTCGTTTGAGTTTGTAAAGTTTGTAGACTCTTGAGCCATAAATCCGAGACCTACAAATAAGCAAAGGATCTTCTGGGTTGCTCGTATAACACAGTTCAACGTCTGGCGATTCCTCAATATATTCTAGACATGTCTTGACGTTGGATTCTTCGTAAGATTTGCAGTAAAATAAACAGCTTGCTTCTTCTTTGGAAATCATGATTACGTTTATTTTTTAAAAAAAATTAAAGTTAAGCAGTGCAAAAGGGAAATGTCTAGACCTCCGTATTTTTTTCAAACGTATTTTTTTTTATACTACTTACAGGAATTCTGGCCAGAAGACCAGCAGGCCAGTATGTTTGCACCTATTTAAAATGCATCCCTGCTATTCACAGTTCGTGAGTTCCAAAAACTCAAGAACTCTGCCTAGGAGGTCGCCCTCATATAGCAAAGACCAGCTGCAACCGCAAAATCACAATATATCTTTTTTCATTTTAGCTTCTTTTCAAAGAAACAAGAGTCATTACTAACTAACTTTTTTACGTGATCTGTTACTTTCATACGATTAAAGAAGTATGTTAAGGGAAAAGAAAAGGAGAAGAATAAAGTGTGTGAACCAGCTTTATTTATAGATAAACAAGCTTATGTCAGGATGATTTCATTTGTCTATTTTATCATCCATAATGTTTGAGCCTTTACTTAAAATAGAAACACTTGCAAAAACCTCCCAAGCAAGCCAGAGCTTGGTAATTGTCTATCTGCGTTCCAATAGTAGCTTGTAATGACAGTGAAGCAGATTTTATGGAAAACAGAAATCGATCATCCCATGAAGTTTAGATGATATGGCATGTCAATCAACGTGTAGACCATCGCGTGATTTTAAAAAATACGTTTATTTGAAAAAAATACGTTTTAAAAAAATAGGGAGTTCTAGACATTTCCGTGCAAAAGCCCGGTTAAAGAAGAAAAGAGAAAAATAATAGATTGGCGCAGCAATTTATACTCCCTCTGCCAGAAACAAAATGACTGGTTCTCTCATTCCATGTGAAATTATGTAATAACATAATCAAAAAGTGTAATTGTTTCATATTTGAAGAACGTAATAAAATCTATTTGAAATAAAGCTCTTACTCTTTAAATGATAGCACTCCTACACTTATATCGTAATATGTATTCCTCTTTTTTTTTTCTTACCAGTGAGATTTTCCTTGTGAGACAGGTTTATTTTACAAGTGAATAGAAATCCCTTTGTTTACACTGCAACTAACTTTGTGTTATTTTAGTGTAGTAATCAATTAATTAACATAAATTGACTTTCTGAAATAGAGGAACTCTTTCGTACGAACGGATATCACTCAACGGTTGTCCGAACCAAACCTTAAAAGAATATAGTCGCTTGCATGATGGGGAATTATGGCAAACAATACAGTTTTTTCTTTTTAAAAGAAAAAAAAATCGCGTATCTTAAGGTTACCTAATATAAATAAAACTTCCCACCCATAATTTGCTTAAAGTATAAAAAAAAAATAACTGATATAACTGTTGACAACCCAAAGTATATTGGCTTGCATCAGGATCAATGCATGCTTTCTTGCGTTTTATGACGGCTGATTTGCCTCTCACAGGCATTTGAATTATTTAAGAAGTGAAATATCCGTTGTTTGTAAGAAAATAGTTGCTAAATTAAATGAAAAAAAAAATCCTTTATTCACTGCATAAATTGCTCTTTTTTTTAGATCTGAAATTTTAATTTAACAGATATGACGGATTAGACATTTTTATAATAGCTCGAAAGAGATGTGATAATTAAAAACTTGATGAAATGGTTAAAAAGGCATTTAATACACCAGGAAGACAAAGAGTAGACACAGAAACGGCCGATATTTTATCACATATGGTAAAAAGCACTGAAACGAGAAAATAAACAAAGAGGCGGAGACTAGTATAATTAAAATGATGGGTCACTGAAGGAAAAACTGGAAGCAAGTAAAAAAATAAACTTGGACAAAGAGGAGGCCGCATTTCCATCTACAATAAAGGGAGCAATTTCAGAGTTGGTACAGCGTTGACACAAGTTTTAGAAAAAGACTGAGAGAATGGGCCTGGGACGGGATACATGAGCTTTATTACTTGTTCCAGTAGCTTGCATGATAATACTAAGAACATAAAAACCTAGTGTTCCTTTGGGTGGCATGTGACAGTGCTTAAATTATTTCTGTAAGCCCTTATGGCAAAGAGACGTTCATGCTTCAAGAAATTTGCATTATATTTCGAAGAATTTGGTCATAACAAAAGAAATCCCCCAGTATGTCAAGATAAAAAAAAAATCTTTGATACTATAAACTCATTGACATTTACATTATAATTTCTCTTTCTGTATCAATCCTTTCAAAGAGTGTAGATAACAGATAAAACCCTGTCAACGAGAGAAAAATCATGCACAATAAAAGAAAAAAAAAATTAAACCATGACGTAAATGTTCCTGCTGCTGCGACGCATAGGGACTGCTATCAAAAGATTTTCATTCACTTCATAATTATTTTTTATTGCCTTTGCATATAAACCATGTCTAAATTACCACTTCAATCAAAGGCTTTTCGGCCTAAATTTCAAAATAAGAGAGCCATTTTTGGGGATGATGAAGATGAAGAATCCCATGTGAACGATGAACTTGTGGTAGGATTTGAAGATAATAAAATTAAAGAGTAAGTCGTTATTCATGCCACCATTCAGGTCTTGTAACTCACCCGCTTACTCACTCTTTTCTTTAGAGCTGTACCAAAAAAAGAAATTGCACCTCTTAGTATATCACCTTTACCAAATGCTGACTGGCGAGCTCTTGCTAAAAGCAAAAAAGAGCTATATGTACCTGCGCGGGCGCAGCAGCAGCAATCTAGCAACGACTCGAAACCAGAAGTGCTTTTACAGTCTGCAACCTCGTTTGGTTTACAAATTCAGAAAAAGAAGACCATCACGAACGAAAACACGAGTGAAGAGACAACAACCATTGAACAAGATACGATAGAAACAGTCGAGGAAGCACCCAAGACTTTAGAGGAACGAGCCATTGAAGCACTTATCAAAGGTAAAAAAAAAACAGAAGATATTAGAGTGTAGTGGATGTAGATTGACGGTTGTTTCCCCCTTAAAAAATAATAGAGTCGTTGGGCGAAGGAGAGGATGAAGAAGACAATAAACCAAAAAAGGTTATTCATGTCAATGAAGCATCGTTATTAAAAGACGATCTGGAAAATAGACCTGACGAAACCACTATGGATGCCTACGATAATATTCCAGTGGAAGAATTCGGTGCTGCACTATTGAGAGGTTTAGGATGGAATGAAGGTGATGGTATCGGTAGAAATAGAAAAAAGGCACCGTATGTATTATGATTATCTTTTTTTTTGTATATAATGTCTCGGACTAAATCAAAATAACAATTAGTGCACCTCCCGCTCCACCTGTGAAACAAAGAGAGGCGTTACTAGGCTTAGGCGCTAAACCAGAAGAAGTAGACAAGGACAATAAATCGAAACATAGACGCGCTGCATATGAGTACAAGGATACAAGCTTATTTAAAAAGATTTCAAAAAGAAAACACGATGAAGACAGTCCTAGTAGGGACGACAAGAGAAGAAAAGACGACCGAAGAGATAGTAGAAGAGATGATAGAAAGAGTGACAGGAGTGATGATAAAAGAAGAGACAGGAGCAGTGATAGAAGAAGAGACAGGAGCGGTGACAGAAGAAGAGATAGAAGCGGTGACAGAAGAAGAGAAAAGAGTGATGACAAAAGAAGGGATAGAAGCAGAGATGATAGTAGACACAAAAGACATAAAGATGATAGAAGGAGAGACGATGACGATGATGACAGACGTAGTAGACACGGTAGTAATAGTGGCAGTAGTAGTAGACGTCGTGATAGATATTAAAGTTGTCACATTTTGAACATGATAAAAAAAATAAAAAAACCTTAATCTGGTTGATATGATTACGAACTCTAATTGGATGAGTGACACATCAGAAAAAAAAAAGAAGATTTGGAACATTGCAAATACGAATCCCTCAAACTTCCTCTGGGTCTGCGTTTCAAAACCTTGCGTTCATAGGAAAGAATATTGCGCCATCGATTTGTATGATTACTACATCGTTTTTTTTTTTTTTTTTTTGTGTGATAATGCAGAATATATAAATAGAGAGGTATCACAACACGTCTTATCGGTTTCTTTTTTTCATTTAAATAATTTTTTTGTCTTTACTCCATAACAATGCCTAATTCTCCTCCTTACAAAGAAGAGATTATCATTGACTATGAAGATATCTCTCATCAACGTCAAACCCAAGAATTTTTTAAACATTTACCAGAGTATACAAAGCAGTACATTGTCAGCTTATTTCCTATCGCAACATGGCTTCACCGCTATAATTTAATGGTAGATCTTTTTTTTTTTTTAAAAAAAAAAAAAAAAAAAAAATTATCCTGGAGCCCGAATTAACTTTTTTTGTTCGATACTAGTGGCTAGTCCGTGATCTAATTGCCGGCGCTACTGTAGGAATTGTAATTGTCCCTCAGAGTATGGGTTACGCCAAGATTGCGGAATTGCCAGCACAATATGGCCTATAGTAAGTTTCAAATAAATGCAAACAATAGAGGTACTAACCGTTATTTACAGTACTGCCTTTGTTGGTTTATGTGTTTATTGTTTATTTGCTACCTCCAAAGATATTAGTATTGGTCCCACAGGTAAACACAACAAAAATAAACATTACAGATTTATGTACAAACAAACTGATCAGCAATCTCTTTTTTAATTTAGCCGTCATGTCATTACTGGTGGGTCAGACAGTAACGCGTGTGACTTCAGCAGACCCCACTATCACAGGGCCAGAAATTGCTGTGGCGTTGTCTTTATTCACAGGCATTATTGCTATGTTTATTGGCCTTGTGCGACTCGGTATTTTAGTTGACTTTATCCCAGGTAAAAACAGCATTTCCCCATGCTTTTCACAGACGTCATATTCATACTTTTTTATCATTATGTAGCACCCGCAATTGCTGGTTTCATGAGTGGATCAGCCATTACAATTACAATTGGTCAGATGCCCAAGCTGTTTGGCATCAAAGGAATGAATACACAAGACTCTTCCTATTTAATCTTTGGAAATTTCTTCAAGAATTTGCCCAACACCAAAGTTGATGTTGCATTTGGTCTCGTAAGTTTGGTCTGGTTGTATGGCGTCCGCTATGCTTGTCAAGTCCTCGGTAGACGGTATCCAAAGTACTCTATGCATTTTTTTTTCTTCAGTATCATGAGAAATGGTCTCTTGGTCATCTTTGGCACCTTGTTTGCGTTCTTGATCAATATCGGTAAATCAACCAGCCCCATCAGTATTTTGAAAACAGTACCCGCTGGTTTCACCGCTATGGCTATTCCCACCATCCGTCCCTCCGTAATCTCAGGAATTGCTAGCTCCCTTCCATCCGGTGTGATCATTTTGATCCTTGAACACGTTGCTATTGCTAAATCATTTGGTCGAATTAATGATTACACAATTAATCCAGATCAAGAAATTATTGCTATTGGGTTCACAAACATATGGGCATCCTTTTTTGGGTAAGTCTTACACATTACACACAAAAACCTTATTTTTAAACAATGAACTAAATTTCCTTTTTCTAGTGCATATCCTTCTACTGGTTCATTCTCCCGTACTGCTATTAAAGCAAGATCAGGTGTCAAGACACCTATTGCTGGTATCTTTTCTGCGTTGATTGTATTATTGGCCCTTTATGCTTTAACGCCTGCTTTCTATTTTATTCCTGATGCTGTTTTGGCTGCTGTGGTCATCCACGCTGTGGCAGATTTGGTCTCTGGACCTAGCTACGTAAAGAGACTGGCGGCTGTAAGCTTATGGGAACTTTTGATCTTTGTTGCTACTGTTCTGGTCACGTTTTTCTCCACAGTTGAATATGGTATTTATGCATCTGTTGCCATGTCTATTGTTATCCTCTTATTCCGTATTGCTCGTCCACGTTTCTGGGGCTTAGGTCGTATCCCTCTTTCGTCCGTTCACTCTGTTGTTTATGAAGAAGATAAAAAACAGCAATTTACAACCACTGAACATCAAAACTTTTTATATGTTCCTGAACAACATCCTTCTCTCGGTAAACTTGTAGAATCGTTACCTGACGGCATTCTTATGTGTCGTGTCGATGAATCTTTCACATACCCTAACTCAAGTTTTATCTCTGATAAAATTATTACCTATTGTAAAACTCGTACCCGATCTGGTGGCAAGGTATTGAGCAAAGGAGATCGACAATGGAATGATGATTCTACCCCTGCCACTTTGGCTGCCCGCTACAACTTGCCCCGTCTTCATGCTCTTATTCTTGATTTTGCGAGTGTCAACCGTCTGGATTCAAGCGGACTTCAAGCAATTGTGGATGCACAAAATACCTTGAACCGCTATAGTGGACATCACGTTGAATTTCATTTTGTAAATATTTTGCATCCTGCTATTCGTCGCTGTCTTATTGTAGCCCAATTCGGCACTCAACCTAGACCTGGAGATAGTCGTAAAGAAGTCTTGCCGGTTGTACCTGCTTCTAGAGATGGACCTCAACGTGATAACGAACATCAACATGCTGATATGGAAAATCAAGTAAATCAGGAAGAGGACGTAAAGGAAGGTCAAACTGATTATGTAGAGACTGTTCAAGGGGGTATTTCTATTCCCAAAGATCGCTATCCTTTCTTCCATTGGAGCTCTGATGATGCTGTTCGTTCTGCTCTAGAGTCTCAGGAAATTCGTCAGTCCCTGGAGGAATCCGGTGAGACTCTTCCTGATGAAGCTATTTCCAATAGTAATGTACCAGCTTCGCATTAAGTTAGTTATACCCGCATTTTTTTGCTCCATGTTCTATTCCTGTGTATCATATTATATATATATCCATCTTCCTTTTGTTGTAATTCCATGTTCAATGTAGTTTATTTTTTAACAATAAATCGTTTTAAACTAAACCCAATGATTGCCCACTAATTATAGTAAAAACAAACAACTTTCACTTTATTCATTATTTGCTGTAATTTATCGCAAAAATGCTTGATAATACAGTCTAAAAGTAGGCGACCGTTAAATGTTTTGTTAAGACGGCGCATTTATACTTGTCCTGATAGTCATAACCATCGCCATGTTTCTTTAAGGCGACCCGAAGAGAAGAATTATAATGATTGTACTTGAATTCCATTTGAACGGCAGAACCTGGGGTCAGTTCCTCGTTGCTCAATTTAACAGCACATATAGGGTCATAGCAAAGACCTTCCAGAGAAAGAACATCCTTTGACTTGGTGTGATCAAGATTTTTGATTTTTACAAAAACTAAAAAAAAAATATTAGCACTTACTTTGTGGTGGGTATTTCGTATTGCTTTGGAGAAAAAAAACCTAAACTCAAATTATATATTTTGTATCTGTACGGGTTCCAATCCATGTTTTCCAGGTTGAATTGTATGCTGAAACCAGTATTAAGTATTTGTTGCCCTTTTTGTATTACTACTGCGGCAAACCCCTCATGCAAGTTCACCTTTTTACCGCTTTGGGGGCTTGTGTACGATAAATAAAGATCGTTGTCTATTTGATAAGGATATATATCTTTGATATAAATACCATAGGACTCGTCATATACCTGGTAAAGCTTCTCATGACGTGGGATATTTCCATGTGTCTGTTGTAATAGTTGGTTAAGTGACTCCTTAAAAAAGTAACCTTGAGTATCTTTTCCTTTCGATTCGATACTAGCTGCAATAAAATTATTTAACGTCTTAGTGTATGCTTGATGGAGTGGGTAGTTGCTCGACATGTCGTAAATGTTCCCCAAACCAAAGATATAATCTACGTTGTAGTTTCCAAATAAACTTGTATTTACTAGTGAGGATGCAATGATTGTGGTAACATGTTGTATCGTTGGTTTTATGCCAATATGAAAGATATTGCGGAGAGAAATGTGTAAGCTGCAAGCACACGTAGAAGGATCTATTTTTATCTCGCTTTGAAAATCCATATCTATGCTGATTTCTTTGGATGTGAGCTAAAATATAGGATGATATTATGTTTAACTTGATGCCTAAAAATAATTTGCTGCTTTACTTACAACTTTAGAGATATGTTGCTTCAATATTGAAATTACGTGTTTGTAATCCTTTGACAAGTGAAAATCATGAATCGAACATCCTTTTACCATGTGTGAGAAACAGTCTTTGGATTCCTTATCTGCTTGAACATGGCACCAAATATTTTTACATAGGCTTTCGTACACATTGTCAGTATGAATTATTTCGTCATGAACTATTATTGTACATGCGTTTTCTTCCTCTGTCGCAGTCCTTACAACTTGGTGTAAGGTAAGCTGAACATAGTTTGCTTGTATTTGTGCTACAACAAAGAAAGTCTTGAGCCCAAGACTTATACCCAACTTGTCTTGAATTGCAGGAAGAATATTTTCTCCTTGAGTTGTGATTCTTGTCTTTTGATTTGCATTATTCTTTGTCGCTAGAACACCTTCGGTAAAGATTTCTTTTAAAGTATCACCTGGACCAAGCATTTTGTTTTGGAGAGATTTTTTTATGGACATAACACATTCAAACTTTTCCACGTTTTCTTTATAGCTAAGGTCTGCTTTTACTTGCTTTTTTGCCAGATTCTCGAGATAAACTAGGTATATAATCAAGAAAATTTGAATGTATTCTCTTTGACGAATGAGAATATGCTTTTGATCGACATTTTCGGATGTAGACGTAACACTGGATTTTGAAAAAAAGACGTCTAACTTGTTCGTGGTGGAAAAAATATGTCTAATAGATAATGCTGGTTCTTCGTTATACCAATCATCTTTTTCCTGGATTTGTTCTTGATTTAGTTCCAATGATGAGCCAACAAGGTTATAAGCTTTTCTTTTTAATCTATGCAATTATAAATGCTTGTGATTAATAGACATTTATCTAACATCTCTAATATAGAATTTACTTGTCAATAAAACTCGGAAGTATGAAACTTTTCTTTTTTTCTGATTTTTTAAGGGTATCTTTATAATTTAAGTATATCTTAAATTGCTTATCCAGGAATGTTTTTAACCTAAGAGACAAATATTTTTGTTAATACACACACGTTTAATTGCTTTCCGTTCATACCTTTCATCAATTTTGAGTAATGGATATTGGTATAATTCTTTTTGCACGAAGAAGGTATTTAGAGGATAAACGTTGCTAATCAATCACATACAAGAAAAGATTAATATAATATTTTCAAAAGGCTTTTTAGAGAAATTTAAAACTTACCATTTACTATATTTAAAGGTCTCAATATGATTACAATTTTTTCCCGATGAAAACGTAAAGCAAACCGAATTAAATGATATAACTGTATTAACAAGAGGGTTATAGTGGGATACGACTCTTTGTACCGGATTAAGTCTTACCTAAATCAATTACGATATCTTTCCTGGGATACTCAACTAAAGATAGTGAACGAATCACTTTTTTGTTTTCAGGCATGATCATGGGCGGTTTCTGTGAATTCAAAATCTCCAGCTGATACTGTATCTGCAATGTACTTCCGAAAAGTGTATCGTTCATTTCAATAAACGTGCCATGTTTTGAGTAATATCCAAACGTCATAATTTTGCAATGCAGCGAATTCTCACACAAGTCCCTGAATTCTTTTCTCAAGTTATCCAACAGTAATTGATGATCAAATCCATCTGCTTCCGTAAACTGGCTATCCCGAAGCTTTAAAATTACTTCACGCTCACTACTGCCTGTGTGTTGTGGTAAATTTGTCATTTTATCCAGAAAAATCTTCAGGATATAGTCGGACATTTTCTTATAACTGTTTACCATGCAACTCTTCATTACGGCTATTGCTCCATCATGTCTTAAACAAGCGCTCCATTCAATTGAATTATGAATCTTGTCATACGAACTTGTAATGGTAAAATCATATGAGTTGGAATATATCTGGAGAGAAAGAATATGGGGCAAAAATGTTCAGCACTCCTTGTGTGTACACTAAACTAATTTTAGTATTCATTTCTGTTAATTACCTTGGGCATGAAAAATCCCATGTTTCCATCTGTCCGTATAGCAAATCCATATTCTTTAAACTCTTTTTCTATACTTTGCTTTATTTCAAGATCAAGAGCAATATCAAAAGAAGTTGACTCTAATAGTTTTACTTTGAAACTGTCGTCAGTTGATGTCGTTATGGGGGGGGGATAATGAGCGGAAAACAGATCAACATTGACAAGCAGTTCGTTTTGTGTTAACTTCAATTCGCACATGATATATTGTTGCCCATTTTTTATAGTAGAATTTATCTTTAAACATTCATCCGAGTCCAAAGACTGTATATACCTAAAATCGGATTCAAGCTGACTGTAAAAGAGTAATCTGCTGGGAGGATCATGTTTGGCAATTAATCCAGCTTCAATAAAAAGTGGACGAATCAATTCTTCTCGTACTTCTATCTCCCATATGGTTGGAAGAGTAATCGCATAGTGACACTGCATATCTGGATCGGTTTTTACACGTATTAAAGCTGATGGGTCGCATTTTTGAAGATGTTGCAAAGATCTTTTTACTCCCTCTTGCACGAGCATTTCATACGTATCATCTGCACAACTAGCTTGATCGTTCGCTTCAGATAAAGCAGGCTTACAGGATTTAAACCTTCTCTTTAAATAATTGTTATAAAGTTCCAAGAAAATATTGTTCGTATAGAATATGTTTTTCTGATTATCTTCACATTTGCGTTTTTCAGCTTCTACTCCGAGAGCCAAAACCTTTTTACTGCCGATATCAAATAATCCAGACGCCCTTTGTTGTCTAATTTATTGAAGAAGTAGAAATCAATACAGACAAAAGATGATTTCTGTAACCAAACTTTGTATTATCTTACATGTTTTGAAACGGTGAAACTCCTTGTTTGCTCCCACTGTCAAAACTGCGAGAATACAGATAGTCTTCGTCGAAACCTATTTCATACATGACGATCAGTCTTTTGTTATCAATGAAAGCTGTGTTGTATACACTTAATACCTATGCTAACACAATAGTCGTTATGAGAAAGATCGTATAGCTCGTCCATAAACTTGGCACTCCTTATGAATAATGAAAATAAAAAAAAAAGATCAACAAACAATAAAAGAGAAAGGAATTATACGCCATAATTGATGACCTTAAGAAACATCTCCTCCTTAGAAGGGCTTAGCCGTCTAAGGTTGTTTATCACTTAATGATCTACATACAGTTTGTGACACAGCTTTAAACGAATCTCCTATTTTTGCAAATCTTTGTTAAGCCCAAGTGAGTTTACATGAGTAATACATTACTGATAGGTGTTTTATGCCTGAGTTGTGAGACCACACCGATAAGTTTGCTCATTTTAAATAGCTTACTAGATTTCTATCTGGCATAATAAGCGAAATAATCTGAATATGCTTTGTATATTTAGTTATATTTCAAGGTTTTTTAGTCATTTATCGTAGCAGTTGTTTACACCTCCTTAAACTTATTGAATTTGGGGATAGAAGCACAGTCGCACTAGGATTTGTAAACCACCGCCTCAATGGCAAAAATGATAAAAAGAAAAAGGATAGGCACAATTATGGTAATTGTAGCATTACTGAGGGCTTTTTGAGGGCTTTGAGGTAAACACGTAGAGCATTATAGCACCATGACAATTTATAAGCTCATGTTTTGAATATTTTAATAGGTTATATACTCGGGAAAGTCAAAACATTATAGAAGTGGTCGACATCTATGATTAGAAAGACCACAAACTTTTCTTTACTTTTCAGACAATAATGATGCTAGCGTTAACTGATTTTTAGTACATTTAAGCAGACAACCTAAAAAATTAAACCATGATCCAGTATATATACTAGGCTGACAAACCACATATCACTACGAAGTTAATAAATAAATTCCTAAGTGTTACTTCCGCTCATTGCAATAGAACAAGATAACCGTGACATATATGTTTATTTTATATAATGTATAGGAGAATGAAGACATATTGACTAAGATTGACAATTTATTTGCATTAGAAAGAAATAAGGATTATCTTCTGTCGTGTCTTCTTCTTTCACTTCTCTCGCTTCTTTCTCTTGGCTTGTCTCGTTCAGATCTTTCGGAGCGTTCCGATTTTTCAAGTCTATCGGATCTGTCACTTCTGTCTCTGTCTGATCGTTCACTTCTATCTCTGTCCGGTTTCTCGTTTCTATCTCTTTCAGATCTTACACTTCTATCCCTGTCGGATCTGTCTCTGTCTGATCTGTCCCTATCCGATCTGTCCTTGTCGGATCTATCCTTGTCGGATCTATCCTTGTCGGATCTGTCCTTGTCGGTTCTGTCCTTGTCGGATCTGTCCTTGTCTGATCTGTCCTTGTCTGATCTGTCCCTGTCGGATCTGTCCCTGTCGGATCTTTCTCTGTCAGATCTTTCTCTGTCGGATTTGTCTCTATCCGATCTGTCTCTGTCGGATCGCTCTGCTCTGTCTCGACTTCTGTATCTTGATCTTGAAGAGTGGCGTCTTGATGAAGTGTGATGAGATCTGCTTGATCTATGGCGTGAAGAAGAGCGTTCATCCTTTGGGGATCTTGATCTCTTTCTGCTTGAATGATCACGACGTTTATCGTCGTGTCTATCATCGGAACGTTTAGAATCCTTATCATCACTTCTTCTGTCTTCACGTCTATCATCCCGTCTGTCGTCGCTTCGTCTGTCGTCGCTTCTTCTTTCATCACGTCGTCTGTCATCTCTTCTGTCTTCCCGCTTTTCGCTACGTCTGCTTTCACTACGATCATCACGACGAGGTGATCGTGATCTGGAATAGGCGCGGTCTGAACGAGGGCCAAGTGGGATGATATCCTCTGGTTTTTTGTCGTCATGACGTCTTGTACTCCCACTATGATGGAATCCACGTCCTCTACCACCTCTTCCACGCATGAAGCCACCTCTAAAGTTATTGTTGAAAGCAAACATATCTTGTGGTGGAGGCATACCAGGGAAAGGAGGCATGTACATCTCTTCATTATTGTTATTAAATTGGGGTGGAGGGAAATTAGGCATAAAGGGAGGTCTACCATCCATGTCATTATTATTCCAGTCACCCGTAGGGAAAGCAGGGAAGCGATTATTCATAAACGGAGGTCTTGCCATGTTCATCCAATTCATATCTGGTGTTGGGAACATATCGGGAGTGGGCATCATCATATTATTCATCATGGGTTTTCGCATTGGCATCTTTCTGTCCTCATCAAAGACTTGAGGTGGAACATTTCCCTTTGTAGAAGACTATACTATGGTGTTAATATCGTGTGCAGAGATAAGAGTCTCCTATTCTTTGTTACCTCTGCCACTTGGGAAGATTCTTCTTTGGTATCCATTGGATCTTCATCACCAGTATGAAGAGGTTCTGTGGGTTCATCTTTTTTCTTTTCGGCTTCTTGTTGGATATAGGCTTCAATAGCTAAGCGTAATGTCTTGTTAGGAATGCATTGGTCAATGGAGACATTATCGGCATGACAATTAGGACACGAGTTTGATTTTTCTAAAGTTGTTGTGATACCTGCATAAAGAAAGAAGAGTATAAATATGTGGGTTTACCAAAAAGACCTTTTTGCTATTATCTTTAGAACTTCTTTTATCCTATCCACGCTATTTCCCTCATTCTCAAATAAACACATTGAAGACAAAACAAAAAAAATAAAAGTGGCATCAAAAGTTCCCCATTTCAGACGATGCTTTGTTCTGAATAAAATATATAAAAATAAAGAAATAACAATATACAGACTAAAGATAATACAATAAGGATTGTCAAAAAAGCAATCATACGTACATTCTTTACAAAAGGATTTTCCACAGCATGGTAAAAGCACTGCATCTGTCATTAATTTCTCACACACTGTACAACATAACTCTTGAGGTTTTTGGTCTTGCTGGTTAGTTTCATTCTCAACCATTCTAATAATAAATTATTATTAATAAGAGAGAGAGAGAGAATATATGATCTACACCATTACCTTTGGGTTCGTTGAACAAACTGTCCTTTGGGAACATTGGGACAATAGTAGATCCAATGGCCAGGTTGTCCGCACTTAAAACACGTATAACCAGTAGGCGGTTTTTGAGTTTCAGGAGGAATATTCGATGGATTGTTCGCTGCTGCTGCTGCTGCTGCTGCCGCGGCGGCGGCGGCCGAATGGCGTTGCATTTGCTGTTGTCTTTGGAACTGTTGCATCATCATCATTTGTTGGAAGTGTTGATATTGCACGGGATTCATCATACCCATTTTCATGACGGGATCAAAATTATTTGGCATCATGGGTCGAAAAGGAGGTTTACCTCCATTATTGTTATTTCTACTCTTTATTTAGTTCTTTGTCTTTGTTACTTTTTATATCTTTTTTCCCCTCTCAAAAATACCTACTGTTGATCCTTTGGTTCTTGATTGAACTGTTCAGGTCTGTCTTCAGCATTAGAATCGTCCATGATCAAGAGATTTTGGTTTTAAAAAGAGAAGAAAGAAAAAATAGAAAAAATAAATAATCGACATGACGTACTTTTAAGAGTCACACGAGAAATAATAAAATAAAAAAAAAAATGCATGCCAAGGTTTTTGAATATTTTCTGGTTTACCCTCAACCATGTCCAATTCTGATTTTCTTGCAGTATGTATATACTTTATAAAAACTGGAGATTCCTTCTTTTTTAACAGAGAAAAAGTAGAAGGCGATTGAAATCGTCAAAAAGGCAACTGAAGAAGACCACAGAGGCAACTATAAGGAAGCATACAGCCACTATCAAAATGCCCTCGAGTACTTTATGACAGCTATAAAATGTATGCCTACCTCCTGCTACAAAGACTTTCGCAGCTAAACATTTGTATTATATAGACGAAAAGAATGATCGCTTAAAAGATCCTATCCGAAAAAGATTTGTAGAGTATCTGGATAGAGCAGAAATGCTAAAAGATTTCCTGCACGAGCAAGAAAAGAAAAGGGAACCGGTGGGCGCCAATGGCGTCTCCAAAAAGTAGTGTGTAATATATTTAATTTTGAGTATACCTTTACTGACACCTCTATAACAGAAAAAAGGGTGAACTAAGTCAGGATGAGGATGATCCAGATATGAAAAAGATGCGAGCTACTTTAACAGGCGCCATTTTGACAGAAAAACCAAATGTACGCTGGGATGATGTAGCAGGATTAGAAGGTGCCAAGGAAGCGTTGAAAGAGGCCGTTATTTTACCCATCAAATTCCCACATTTGTTTACAGGACAACGTAAACCTTGGCGAGGTATTTTATTATATGGTCCCCCCGGTACCGGTAAATCTTTTCTTGCCAAGGCCGTCGCCACAGAAGCCAATTCCACCTTTTTCTCGGTTTCATCCTCTGATCTCGTTTCAAAATGGCTTGGCGAAAGTGAAAGATTGGTGAAACAATTGTTTCAAATGGCAAGAGAGAGTAAACCATCCATCGTATTCATTGATGAGGTCGATTCTTTGTGCGGTACGCGTGGTGAAGGTGAATCGGAAGCATCACGACGTATCAAGACCGAATTTCTTGTACAAATGAACGGAGTGGGAAATGATATGGATGGTGTGTTAGTATTAGGCGCAACAAATATTCCATGGCAACTGGATTCCGCTATCCGAAGAAGATTTGAAAAACGTATTTATATCCCACTTCCTGAATTACATGCAAGAGCAACCATATTCGCTTTAAACGTGGGTTCAACACCATGTACATTATCTCAAGCAGACTACCGAAAATTAGCTGAAATGACAGAAGGTTATTCGGGTTCGGATATTGCTACATTGGTTAGAGACGCCTTGATGCAACCCATTCGAAAAGTACAGATGGCTACTCATTTTAGATGGGTAGAAGCTCCATCAAGGAAGGATCCAAATCAATTGGCTCGTTATCTCACTCCCTGTTCGCCTGGTGCTCCGGGGGCACAGGAGATGACTTGGGTGGATATCGAGCCCGATCAATTACT